TCTTTTAACTCTATACACCTTGACCAGCGATATACCAACTTCTTCAACCCATCAAAAAAATAATATTTGTCAAACTGAAAAACAAGGAGAACGCTGCCAGCATCTTGGGTACCTTGCCACGGGGACCCAGTTTTATTCATATAATTAAAAAATGCTAGTTTTATTTCCTTTCTAGTATTTAAGCTTTTATTGAACCTTGCCTTTATGTTTCTTGACAAATAAGCCTATTAAATAAGCCTTCTTTATTTGATGCAAATCAGATAAATAAAATCAAGTCGGACTCAATCTGGTGAATACGGAAGGGTGTGGCAATAGTTCGTATCATTATTCGACAAGTATTGATGTCCGATGATTGCGGATGAGAAACGGAACACTGGTAGTTCCGTTTACTCCATCTTCAAAACATGTATACCTTCACCCTTAGACGATGGAAAAAAAATTAAATTGAAACTCTTTTTATTGGATATATTATTATATTTATATTATTACATTTTTCTTAGTTAATGCTATTTCGTTTTATATTTACAATCATATTATCCCCCTGACATTGTACTTTAAATCGTAATGCGAATTATCAATGTCGCAACGTTAGAATTAAAAATCTACAATTATGTAAATGAATTGGAAAATACCTGCGCCAAGAATATCGAACTTGCAAAATTGGAATATACTACTTACCTAACAACGCGAACGTATCCATACTACTTTTCCCAACGAGACTAACACTGTTACTCTACATATTTTGCTTACAGAATACAAAGTTTGTCGTTACTTCAAATTACGTAAACGTGCGTATTTAAATCTCACGTGACGTAACAACGGTTGAAGGTCGGTCGCTAGTCGCCGCGTAATAGTAATGCGATCGTACCGTAGTTAGCTAATCAGATCGTCAACGCTTGTGCCCCGGGGGTTGAATTTCATCAACTACCTGTTCACTTGGACTTGTTAAATGTATTATTATTATATTTTATTATTTGATTTCTATAACTGGGGGTCTACTCTCGTCATCGAGTATATAACCAGAAATATTCTGCCATATCATTACGGTGACAACTGCGCTCCGATTGGCCAACCCGAGTTCGAAACAATTGACGGGTGTCGTCAATTGTTTATTCATCGTCAATTGTTTAATGTCGTTTAACTTGAGAAATTACATATTTAATTACCGATGCAATGTGATTCCATTTATTTTGTAATTAGATGTTTTGCTGTTTTTCCCACACCACCGAATGGAACAATATTTATACGGAGAGGTACACGCAGCTCAGTTGTTGGTGCTGTACTCAGTTTTCTAATTTATGATTGCAGCGCAAACGAGAGTTTATATTTAAAAGTGATATAAAGCCTATTTGACTGATGAGTTGCTAGGAATGGATGGCCCTTCTATTTCTGGTTATATACTCGATGACTCTCGTTCTCCGTCCGCAATCCGTCTGAAACAATTGCTGCCAAATAAGTAATACTCGACCAAAATTAAAAGACAACGTCAAGTCTATCTAATCGAGTATTCCTTATTTGATAGTAATTGTTATGGACGAATCTCGGATAGAGAACGAGTATATAGGGCCTGATTGGACTGCATGAATATAGCGTATAAATTATATTAATATTTGTCCCTAAAACACCACAACAGAGCGATATTGTGGTAGGTGCGCTCTATACCTACTAGAAAAAAGTTATTTGACCTTAGTAAAAGTCTTTTGGTTTTCGAGATATTGGCATTTATGATTTTTTGGCAAAACTCAACTTTTTTTGGGTTTTATGCTATCGTTGCCAGGGTTAGCTCCAGATGGCTGTTTTAATTTATTTTATGAGTATTCTGAACAGTTCTTCCTGGTACTGCAACTAATATTTAACTGTGAAATATCATAAAATGTTTAAAAAGAGATTTTCGACGTTCCGGGCCCATTACAAGTTCCATGGTCACGGTTGACGGTTTGTTTGAAAAAAACAAATATGCGCGATTTAAATCCGGAAAAATAGTTTCATTTCCTATGAATGGAATTGTTTATTAAATTATTCAGATTTAGCTTTATAATGTTACTAAGTATGTATGTTACTAAATTTGTGAAACAAGCGTTATTGCAAATGCAATGTTTGCAAACGGGGGCAGGCTGAAAACCAGTTGTAGAACCAAGTAACTTTATCTATATCTTTGTGTAGTATTTGTTGGGTGTGATATGAGTGTTACTGTTGAGTATCGTCTTGTCTATTCCGTCAGCGCACTGCTGAGTAGTATATTATCGTCACGTGGTAATTTATGTCTGGTCAGGTTGTCCGTTCATGTAACGTGAACGTGGACACCAGTGCTAAGCAACTTCTGCCGCCCAGGAAATGCCGAGACTGTCCCACACACACAAATTATTTAATATATGTATTAATTTATTTTTGCATTTATAAATAATCTTTTAAGCTTATTTTGGTAATGTAATTAATGTGTGTGGAAATAAATAGTTTAAAATGTTTTAAATAAAATTAATTTGATATACTTCACTTTTAATTTTTCAGAAGGATTTCAAAAAAATTTAAAGTAGGTACAATATCTCGAAAATCAAAAGACATTTACCAAAGTCAAATTACTATAATAATAAATTCGAATACCTCGTGACCCACATTAATGTGAACTTTTGAGTAGCACAAAAAACAGAATTACTAGAAATAATAATAAAACGATTTACCTTTATTTTATAACTAAAAGAAAGTGTACAAATTATTATTTTAAGCTTTGATTGCCCGATATTACGCTGGAAGAATAAAAAAGGGATACCGTCCAGAAACGAAGTTACGACGTTTTCAAATTTAGCAGACGAATATCATGGTCATTGACCTAATAACCTAAATAATTTACCCAATTTGTCGATCTTTATGCTAGATGTTTGTCAGGTAGCACTCGGGCGCACAGGTGAAGGCCAAGCGCTAACCACACACTCGTTTTGTCAACGTTAGGTAATTTAATTGTAAATACCAGTCTGTTATACTATTTCTGAACATTTGTGGGTTCTTAAATTAGGCAATATAATATAAATGATTATTACAAGACTAGCCCCTTTAAGAATGCTTATTATATCACGAAGCTTTTAAAATAGAGTTTATCATAAACAACAGCAATTTGATGACTAAACTATGCGATGGTGATGAACTCCAGGAAGTAATTACAAAATAATTCATTAATGAAAATTAAACTGACATGCTTAATTATAAATTTCATAAACGCAACGTGAATTTTTTATAAATAGGCACAATTATTTTGTTTGCAATATTGCAATGCTCTTACTGATTCGGTAACGAGATTTCGTTGAATATTTAATTAATTATGATACGAATAGGACCACCCAAAATCTGTACACGTAAAGACTGAGAGACAAAATAAGCGAGAATGGTTGCAATGTATCTCAATTATTGTAAGGTCGGATTCTTACCTGCCCTCTAAGGTGGCTATTTTTTTATTGGCACACTTTGCATCTTTTTAAATTCCATTTGTATTCTTCAATTATAACCTTATTTAGCCATTTACACAGTTTGTCGTCATGTAAATTAATTTTACGTTAACATTAAAATTGAAGTCTATTAATGCTAAATACATATACATAAGCGCTCACGCCCTAGTCCCACGGGCTGGGTAGGCAGAGACCACCCTGGAGGATCAAGAGTCCCATGAGGCAGTGGTCTCCTTCTGTGAAGCGGTGATGCTCCGGCGGCGTACCTTCGCAGTTGCGGGCGATCGGAGCGGGGGCTCCGTTATCCTAGGAGGATTTCCCCACGAAATAAAAAAGTGTACGCAGAGACCACGGAGCGCCTCTTTACTCTATTCTGACACAACTGTCGAACCTCACAAACAACTACCCTTTTCATACAACTTCTTTTATTCTTGTCGCTTCAGATCCCCGCCTTTTTGAGGACATCTCATATCTGGTCAATGTAAGTCCTTCCGAGACCTCTTAAAGCCCTTCCATTTACATTCGCAACATAAATATGGTAATCTTTGGTAATTCTGATAAAACAGAAGTCAAAATTAAAGAAAATAAAATAAAAGACAAACATAAAACATAATACTAACCTAATGATCAACGGCTTGTGTGTGCTAAAGCAAGCCAAATAGGTTATGGTTCAGTGCAAAATTTGCCCACAAGCAAAGCACTGATTTTCAGCCACCACCTTCGAGTGTGGCGCGTTGCGGTACATCAAAAGCAAAAACATTGTGTGAAGTGAATGTACTGTGCATATGTATCACGTGACTTTTATATAGATTATAAAAATATAAACATTTAGTGAATTCTGCTAAACTGGTGTGCGTTACCTAAAACGCGGCGTCAAAATCAAAGATTATTTATTCCATAGGTAAAATAAATTTACACTTGAAAACGTCACATTTAAGCTACTGCTCGTTCACTACGCTGACCTCCTTGAGAAGAACGAGCAAGAAACTCTAGGAACCGCTCTTTTAAAATAAACTTAAATGCTACATACACTTTGAATCAAATTTGTGTGGATTCTGGAGCCGTGTCGTCTTTCCATACATCTTTATCTAACACGTAGTCTTCAATTTTGTAATATGATTTTTCGATCAAAATATTTTAATGATATTTCAGCTATATGCAGCTGCGTCGTTAGGGTCAGTTACGATAAGTCGAACACGTTAACTAATTTTCACTGTTTTTCAAAGAGAATCTCGTGCTCTATCTTTTGCTGTTTAAAGCGGATATTTGACCATTTCTCATTAAGCCGCGTTTTAGTTAACGGACGGCGGTAAAGTGCAATTGAAAAACAATGGTTATAAATAATTATAACATCCCATAATAAACCCGCGAGGAGAGCACTGCGTTATGTGTTAGCGTGTGCTCTGTTTAATCATTATAGGGGCGTTTCTTAAAATCTATTAATAAATTAACTGCGGTTGAGAAACAAAATATCAACGTCCATGAATCTGTCCTCGTACATGTACATGAAAATAATAGAAGGGATTCTTGCCGAATGTTTGAATAATATTATTATTATCTTACCTGCAATAGCTCTAATAAAGGCGATTTTTCGGTGGACGTTAATGCAGCGTCCACTATACAGTACACGTCTCCAGGCCCCTGACACTGGTACCAATCGTCCAGATCATACAGCGGTGGCAAGGATGCTAGGGTTGTGGCTAAAAGAATAAAACTATTAGTTTCAAAACAACTGCCGACATTAACTAATTTAAGATATATTTTTTTACGACATCATACGACGAGGTGAACAAGCTACGCGCCTGATGATAACAGTTGCGGTGTTACTCAGTGCTTTAAAAATCAAATATCTGAGGGGCACTGCCACTGCGCCCGTCACCCTGACATAAGTTGATAAATCTTATGTGCTTGTAATTTCACCAGCACCCTTAGAGCGTTTGCATTGTACGTATCAGTTCCGAATCCGAGTAATGACGGTCCGAAATGTCACAGGGATCATTTTATCTCCGGGTGTATAAGCGATATTCGTTATCTCGGACTTATTGCACAAGCGACATCCGAAGTGGGTTCGACTATTCTAGATTTGTACAGTCTCGGCTTCGGAACGAATTATTGAAAAGGTACACCATTAACTGCCTCTTAATTTTGAGGGATATTGAGATCAAAAAATTAAACTACTTGGTGTTTTCATATGAAATAGTCTATATCAATATCTTCGGTCGCGTTCAGTGTTTAGGTTATTGTATGACTGCATGAATCTGTTCAATGGAACATAATTTCTTACATTAGTTCAGCTACAAGACGAAACAAATGTTTTGGTTAACTTAAGTCCTCAGCAGTTTAAAGAATAGTAATGGTTAACTCGATCTGCGACAAATTTACCGATCACGTTAGGGATATGCCACACGGGCGTTGCGTCGTCGCAACTGCGTTGATTTTAACGAACTGAGTGCCTCACGAGCTGTGTTTTTTTATATAATATCAAGTGACGTGACGAGCAAGTCGTGCGCCTGATGGTAAGCTGCCTGTTCATAACAGTTGCAGTGCCACTCAGCTCTTTAAATCGCAAAATAAGTTGACAAGCCCCATGTGCCCGTAACTTCAGCAGCACCTTTACCCTTCAAAACCAAAACACAGTAATGCTGACATTACTGCTTGGCGGCAGAAATAGATTAAGTGGCAGTAATTATCTGGACGAACTCTTTCACGTACGCGTCGTGTGGCATGTCGTTCTGATTTATATGTAACGTCGACAAGATGCGTTGTACTAGATATAAATCCTGCTACATATAAAACTGCACGGCAAGCCACACGGTGCGTAGAAACAGCGCGCTTTGACGGAACAGCTCGTGTGGTTTGACGGAACAACTCAGACCGTTGAAATCAACGTAGTTGCGACGACGCATCGCCCGTGTGGCATTTCCTTTAACCAATTGACTACTTCTAATAACACATAAACGTAAAGAATCTATGAAAATCCTATTAAGCTGAGGATATTAAAGACGAATTTAAAATATTTTAATATCATCAACCCAATTATACGTCCCGTTTCCGAGCACGGATCTTCTCTCAGGCGTTGGTGACTTTACACGTTTTCGGAAGGTTGTGAACCTTCTTGGACATGCAGGTTTCCTCACGTCGTTTTCCTTCGCCGAAAAGCTCTTGGTAAATTAAAAATTAAATTTCGCACTTACGTTTTGAAAAACAAATTGCCCGGATTCGAACCTATGGCCTCTGCTTGAGAGACGGTAGATCAAACTATCAGGCTACCACGAATTTTACTAAAGATGTATTTACTTAAAATTTGAAGTTAGAAAACTTACCGTTTAGTTCAACAAGACTGGCAGAAGCGCCGGTTAACACTTTTGCAGTGAAATATAAAATAAACACTAATTTCAACATTTTTAATAATTTTGTGCGCGTGTATATTGAATTTCAAATTTAATTGAATTAATTTTACATATTTATGAATTAATAATAAACTATAGAGATAATTCTATAAAATCATTGAACTATAAAATTGTTAATTTTTATATTTTATCACGAAAAAATTTGTGTTATTAGTTATTTTGTGTACACGTTTTTTTATTAATTAATTTTCTATTATCACGGAATGAATATTAATTTCCAATTACGGTTTCACTTTCTCAACTTCACTAAATTTTTATTTTAATAATTATATTTTTTAACACACCCATGCACACTTGTTACCGGCCAATGTAGTAATACGGCGGTAATTCTTGTGGCCCGCATTACCTCATCAAGGTGGAGGCCACCAACCCTTCTCTCAAGCTAGTTTCAACATTGTTGCACCAGCTTCGTTTTGACAAACAAATATTTAGCCGCCACACACGGGCAAAGCTGAGCTTTTGTAATATGTGGTTTTTGAAACAATTTTTTCGATAGTTTCCATATGTTTGAATAGAACACAAACAATTAAATACTATTTTAATCTTTAATGAAATTTCTGTTCCTTTTTAGGTTGGCACGGCCCGAAACCCTTTTTTTCTTGTATTTATTTATTTATATTTATGGAATATTATTCATTGCACGTTAAATTGCAGTGGCAATGCACTAATTTAAGTATTTATACAGTAATAGTACATTATGATATAAGTGCGGTAAGTTGAAAATTACAGCCGAGGCGATATTGCTAGCCCGAGCCGTAGGCGGGGGCTATAAGAAAGCAGAGGCTGTAATTTTCAAAGCGCACGTATGTCATACGACGTTTTATAACATATTTGCGAGGAAATAAATAAGACTCTGACTTTCTTAAACGAATAAATCTTTAATTACTTGTTAAAGCAGTTATAGAAATTTGAACAATTTTTAAAAGTGATTGTTACGTTGCCAGTTGGCATTTTTAATGTTGTCAAGTTATTATTATTAGTTACAATCTCCCCAGTCACTCTCTCACTCTCTTGAGTGAAAGTAGGAGAAACGAGACCACAGAGTTCTGCAGTCGGTGGCGGCGGCGGAGGCGGTTGCGGCTGCGGCGACGATGGTGGAATGTACGCGTGTGTGCTCGTAGATGGTTGAAAGTCAACACTTGACTCCAAATTTATGTTCCTTGTAATGCGAGAGCTAATTTCTTCTTTATTTCTTATCGAGTCTTCTATGTATCCTTCGGCTACATGGCTTGACCGCCATCCTCCGTGGCGTTTTAGTGTCAATAAGTCCGCACCTGAATCGGCGAGCAATGTAGCCGAGGACCTTCTGAAACTGTGCCCTGTGTATTCATGTGCTTGAGGCAAATTTAAGAAAGTGGCAATTTCTTTCGGCATTGCTCCCAATTTATTAATGCCAATGGGTTGGTTAGTGCATTTTCCATTTTGGTAATTTTGAAAAAATCTGTTGGAATTAGCTTTTGTTGAACGAAGCGCTTCGTATTTCTTCACTACGTCGTAAGAAGGCCCCTGTATTGTGAACGACCTTGGAATTTTATTTTTTGTGTTTTTGACCTGGACAAGAAGAACCCGCCCATGGTTCTCGACATCATTAGTTGTTATGTTTGCCAACTCTTGACGTCTACATGCCCCATTTATACCGAATATTAATACAACCTGAAAAGAGATAAAAAGAACGTATAAACACCTATATTGTAAAGAAATACGAAAGTGAAAGAAATTAATAACAATAATTTAGTTTCAACTGACCTTTGTTGCCAATATCGCCAATCCGGAGCTTCTTTTAGGAACTTCTTGATATTGTCAGCCGAAAATACTTTCGACTTTTTACTTACATGGCCATCTGAGCGTCTTTTTAGAAATGCTATCAAGTTGGAGTACGACTTGATATCAATACCATGGTTTGTTTTCATAGTACTTTTTAGCATTAGCAAAACACATTTTCTGAAAATGAATTTGCATCTTTGCTTGTTTTCCATACAATGAAATTTTGATACGCTTGTAAATATCTATCGGTCGATTTTTCAGGTAAGAGGCTTAGAGTTGTCTTTTTCGCTGCGTGTAAGACTTGTGGCGGTGTCAAATTAATAAATTCATCACTACTTGACGACATTTTCAAATAAAAACAATACAGCGAAAAGAAAAAGCGCGCGAAATAATTTTTACTTGTCCACACATTGACTTACAATTATATGGACGTCGGGTCCGCGCTAAAAAGTGTCCGCACTTGTAAGGCGCTAAAATCGTATACAGAGCGCGACACTCCGCTTTAGTCTTCATTTGTTCTACTGACAGCGCGATACTGCGATGACATTACAATTTAAATTTCGAATAGGTTGACTTGGGACATTTTTTTCGTGGTTTTTGTATTAGACCCGTCGTCCATTTATTTGTAAGTCAATGTGTCCACAAATTAGCCATGCGCGCGCATCAACTTTTTTTTTTTAGGCAAAGGTATAAAAATAGCCAGTATTACTAATAAAGTAAATTAATATTTTTGTATTTTTGTTACAGATAAATGGTTGTAATTTATTGTCAAAATTAATTAAATGAAAGAATTAAATGTTTATTTACTATATTTTATCTCCCAAAGTTAATTTTATTCATAAAATATTGACCACTTTTCTAACATAAAAACTCTTTGCAAAGATTTAAAAAAGTATCGTTCATTTTTAGACGGAGCATCTTAAAAAACCGTGCAAGTTACTTTATTAAAAAAAAAACTCGTGCGTTTTACATTACAATAACGCACTTGTGCGTTTTACATTACAATAACGCACAAGTGCGTAATGAAATACATTACGATATTGAAATTGGTGTGATTTCAGCCACTTTACGAGCAAATATGTTATAAATTAATGTGCCATGTTATAATTATTGTTATGTAGCAATCACATACAGGCAACCTTTGGATAAAAATTCGGAAAAAAAACCAAAGAAAAAAAGAGAAGAAAATAGAATACAAAAAATACAAAATAAAAAAATTATCTGCATGAAAAAATAAAAAAAAATTCAACACAAGAGCATTATAAAAAAAAAGCTATTTTGCTTGAATACTTTCACTGGGTTCGCGGAGTAGTAAATTAATTTACTCCCATTTTTATTAACATGGACTTCCGCAAAGTAGTTTTAGTAGCAGTAGAGTTTCTTCTTTGTGAAAGAGATCGTCCAGGGTATTACAGCCACCTTACCTATTTCTGCCAAACACTAATGCGAGCATTACTGCGTTCCGGTTTTGAAGGGTAAGAGTGCTGGTGAAGTTACATGCACATGGGACTTGTCAACTTATGTCTCTGGGTACGGCAAAAATAAATAAGTAATAAATTAAGGGTTAAGGAAGAAAAGACGAAACTTCGAATCAAAAGAGGATCGTCGAATAGATTCAGGGAGGGAATTCTACAATCTGATGATGCTCGCGTATTCGCGATTCCGGCAGGCGCCGTGCGACGTTAAACTGTAATATACATAGAGTTTCTTAAGTCCAAAACTAAAAGAGATACAGGGAAACTATCTCAGGAACCATTAGGTCTTTTTTGTAAAAACAATTTTGGGATAGTCGATTTTTTGGTCAAGCGTAAGTTATGCATGCACAGCATAGAAATAAATAAAATTTATTAATTTTTTTAGGGTTGAACGACTCAGTTTCATGTAATGATAATTCTCACTGTATAGGAAGAACAAATCGGGACAGCAGAAGTTGATCCAATTTAATAAATTGGCAAAAAAAGACTTAATGGTTCCTAAGACAATTTCCCTGTATCTTCTATGGTTTCGAGTTTCGCCAACATTGAAGGGAAAAAAATGGCGGGTTTTTGTAGTTACAGTTTTACACGAAATAATGTTTATTTTTAAGTATATTATTACCATACGTTTTGAGTTTCGTAATTATTTGTTACCTTTATAACTGACTGCTCTATAATCATGCTCAATAAGTAAATAATAAAAAATAATGAATATTGAAGTCCTGTTCCAGCGCGGTCAGGCGAAATTGACGCTTCTGTTCCATTCGGTGCTGCGGGGGCTTTTTAATTATTTTTTTGTGAAATTACTTCCCAAGTTTGTAATAATTATTAATACAAAAATCGAACATAATATCCAATCTAAATAGGTGTCTCAATAAGAGTGCACTATTTCATTTAAAAATAAAACACGTATTTTTTGAGCGAGTTGTGATATTTTATTGCATTATAAAGTAGACATTCCGGTTAAGTATGGAATAAAATTTCCGGCAAATGGCCCCCGCGGCTCTGATAAATAACGTACACACTCAAAGCCCTGCACTAGGAAAACCCTGTATGGAAGGTGTCATGGACACACACATAGAACACCATAAATATGGGTGATATTTATGGTGTTCTATGTTCTACTCACGAGAGAAATAAATGTAGGCCCTTTGTAGGCCATACAAATATTTCTCCCGGCCCGGGAATCTATCAGAGCTTTGATCTGAAGGGCACTGCGCCCGTCGCTCTGAGACAAAAGTTGACAAGTCCCATATGCCTGCAATTTCACCAGCACCCTTACTCTTCAAGACCGGAACACAGTAATGCTGACATTACTGCTTGGCGGCAGAAATAGGTAAGGTTTCGTAGCTTCTTAAGGTACTTCCCTGGACGAACTCTTGCACAAGGAGCTCCAGATTTTCGCAAAATTGTTTTGTATGTAAGTGTGTGCGCAGCAATGAGATACTAAAACCTTGCTTCGTATAAACAATGTTTTAAACATATCGACCAATATGATGCAAAGAAATGATGGGACGGACTAGGGCGTCTATTCTGGCGTTGGCTATTCAGATCTTAGATTGTAATTTTTTTTCAACAGTTTGATTTTGCAAATTTTTTCGTATGTATTCTTCAATAGATTAATTTGCTGACATTTTTTCGCTGGATATCGATGGTTCGAAAATTCTGCCACAGTGTGAGCCGGTGTTGAAAATTTAAAAATATCATTTTTTTAAATTTATTTATTAATAATAATAATAATAATAATGCAACAACATCGCGTATTGTTCAGCAACCAGCTTGCTTATGCAAAAATATAATTTACAAATAGTTACTTTTAATAATCATGGTTGTGGCTCCCTTTGTAACAATTAATTAAGTTCTTTATAGTTCCTAGTTTTACAGCAAGCAAAACTAGCTCAGTCGAATAATTAATTGTCATGATACCTAAGTAACTCTAGTTCTAGGGACAATTAAAGCGGAAAGTACGCAGCTAAATTACGCATATAATTAACAAGATAAAGTACACAGCAAGCACCGTTTGTGGGCATTGTCATTTCACGCACCGTTACTTGTATGTAGTGTAATTGCGCGAGAGTAATTCAGCCACGTAATTCACAGTAGATTCATACATAATCAAATTCATTGAATTGTATTGCCTCGGGAGTATACTTAAAAAAAACAGACGTATCATAATCAAATTTCTTTAAGTAGTTGAAAAAGATAAATTAAATTTACAAAGAGACCACATTTTGTTTATAATATAATTTAGCTTCAATTGTGTTGCTCACATTTCTAAATAAAACTGGAATATTTATTTTATTCGCCTCTTTTTTCACTTTCCATCTAATTCCGAAATCGGAAGACGAATAAAGGACCAAGACAAAGGATTATATTGCGAGATGTGACAATTATTTAACACATTAACGCGCCAACTATCGTGCTAACCCTTCTGAATGGTAGCAAATGGTAGAGGCACCCTACAGCGAGATTGGCTGAATTAAGTCTAAATTTAGAAATATTACCAACAGAATTGAAGCCACGTTTTAACACTAAAAATAACTAAAAAAATTAAGTATTCATAATATTTATACTAACTTGACTCGTAAGGCTAAATAAATACAGTGTGTAAATGATTGCTTCCACTATAACATCATCACTTTTTCAAAAGTGCATTTTTTTTAATAATTTACTTTTACGGCTATAGAAAACTTGTCCTTGTAAATTCTTCAACAGAAGATTTTCTTTAAAAATGATTTTAACAAAAACTGTTCTTTGCAAAAATTTTTGGAAATATTTTTTCCCTTTCCGTATTTTTTTAAATATATTTCAAAACCATTTCATGGACAAATTTCTCTTTACAACTATGCAATGTTTACACTTTATACTATTTTTAATATATACACAATATATTTCAAATACGAAAAAAAAATATTTTCAAGCAAAAAAAGCAACGCAAAAATCTAAAAAATACGTTGTTATTTTCTCGACAAGTTAAAAAAAGTTAATAATTACTAATTTAATTGTTATTTCTCAAGGCAATTCGATTTTTTTTAGCTTGTCAAGATTTATAGAGGTTTTTATCTTCTTTATATATTTAAATAAGTATGGAAAACATACGTGGAATAAATCAATAAGTAAGATTTATGGCTACATATTTCGTTAAAAAGTATTGCCATAGAAAAAAAACAGCCCGACAAACAGATTTATTTACTCTCGCGTTCGGGTGGGACCAAACCATGCACCGCGTGAATTTTTCTTTAAAAAATCACATATTCCATTGTAATTTTGTTATATTCATGACAGGGGTAATCTGTCAAATACGTCAACAGTCTAGTCTACAAATAAATACAAATCTAAAAAAAATGTAGGTATAATTTTTTCCCAAAACACCAAACACTATATATCTAACAATATACCAACACAAAATACCATAACGTCAGCAAAAAAAAAAGGCAATAATTGCTAAAAAAACCTCTATTTGGACGGAAAGCGTCGGCAAATGAAAATATAACGAGTAGGAAGTAAATTGTAATTGACCATTATAAGTACGTACATACATAAGAATGCTTGACGAAATTGTTTTGGGGCAAACTACATCTTAGTTATACTATAAAGTGGGGTGAATTGCAACGCAAGAGTGTATAGAAACCAGTACGTTATGCAAATTTAAGCAGCGTTATACAGTAAAATAAAGTAAGGTTTCATTTGACAGTTTGTTTACAATATGAATTAAAAGTATTTTATGTTAGAGTTTGAAAACGTATAAAGTTACTGACAGCAGTAAACATTGCAATAATTATGTACATAAAAACGCGAAAATAATTTAAACCACTTGGTTTCCATTCACCCGCAAGTTGCGATTCCACTTATCTTTTTTTTTCGTATTTATTCATGAAAGATAATTTACAAGATTTAAAAGATTACATAACAAATTACAGTTAAAAATAATAACGTAATAGTTTTTTTACAAATGACACGTTTAAGTGTAGATTACATAGGTACATAGGCACTCGATTTAGAATAATAATGATTCATAATTTATGTTAACTATAAGAAAACAATAGCTAAGAAGTTTGAAAATAACCAATTTTTTATTTGATATAAACTTTTTAAAGGTGCTTTAGAACGTAGTTCGTGAAATAAATAAACTCGCTTTGGTGTTATAACTACAGACCGCAATAAACGGAGTATATTTATCATAACTTCAAGGAAATAATTAACGTAAAAGTGAATAATACCTCCCTTTGAAATCCCAGAACTATTATATTGTATTTTGTTCTATATTCTAGATAACTAGCAATTACTGTAAAGCATTAAGTAGAGTTTCGTAATTGTAAATAAAAAATAATAATTTTGATTTGTTTTGCTTTTTATTTTTAATAATTCCGGGAAATTATAAAATTTGGTAAATATATTTTGCTTATTGCGATCTCTGATGACGTATGTGCAAACGACACGTTTAGCGTAAGCAAATAAAATGTGAAGATGGAATAAAGACACCACAATGGTTACAATAGTAGTATTAAGCTAACATTTTTGATATAAAATAAGCAAAACGGATTTTCTTGAAAATTTAATAAAGTTTTTACACAATACCCTAAGAAAAACGAAAAATTAAAAAAATGGAATAAGTAACTTCAAAATTACACATCTTAATTCAATAGCGAGCTTAGATTAGAAAATTGAAAAACTTCGTTCATAACTTTGGAGACATTAAAACTACAACAATGCCGACTATGACCAAGCTTTCTTATCAATTCTGTTGCATTCAGTTCTAAAACAAATTTCAACTTTGCGCATCTAAAAGATCTGGTTTGCGAATTCACTGTATTCATGGAATTTATTGTATTATGTTATTTTGTACACACAATAAAATAAAGCAGACTGTTTTGAAACAGTAAATTTAAATAGTAATTTATCAATGAATAGCCAATGCACCCAATGTCTTTAGACCTGCTGGTTTAATATTTAGAACTGCGAACAACAGAAATGCAAGTCATTATTCGAAGAGGCCATAACATTTTAAAAAATTGCAACAATACTATCTATAATTAAATTTTGTAGCATTATATTCGTAATTATTCATTTCATAACTATCTAGAGTTTTATTAAGTTACATTACGTGGCCGCCACTTTGGACCTCGTGAAAAAGCTCAAGGTCATCCAAAAAGCAATGGAGAAGGCAATAGTCGGAGCTCAATGACTTGCTAAGCTTAAGTGGCACAATGGCACATTGTTAGTAGAGCAGATGGCCTCCAGTGCCAGAGTTTTCAAGTAGTGACCGCATAGCGGAAGATGCAGCGTGGGCACACTACCATCGAGTTACACCGACGACTAGGTGAAGGTTGCAAAACTCGAATCTTTGGGGGCGGCCTAGGTTCACAAGTTACCGTTTTTCAGCTAGAGTGATAATGATAATGTTAAATATTTCGAAATCACTTTACTTAGCGTTCAGTTATATTTATTACTTTTGTTATAATGTACCTTATTCTGACAAATAAATAAATTGATTGATTGATTATTGACGACCAATAAAATGTACACTCAATTCCGTGAAAACTACTCCTACATTTTAAACGTTTCGTATTAAGTGTAACGTAATAAAACCCCATAACTATCTACAAGTAAAAGTAAGTAAGTATATTCCGAATGTTATGAAATTGCTCCAAACTGGTGTTTGTAAATTTTCAAAGGGTTATGAAATCAGTCGTAAATTGTGTTTTATACCCAACGTCAACTAATGACGAAGAATCTTTACGAGAATTTAATTTTAATAGTGACAACATCCCAGTAAGTATTGCACGCAATTTTAATTACCTTCGTATCAAATGCGACACAGTGTGACTTATCGCATTTTCGTCATAGAAAAAATGGGGTGAACAACCACATCCCCCTTTTTATTAGATTAACCCCTGGTTGCGATTCACCCCAAATTTAATCGGAGCTAAATTTAAAACAACGTACACCACTAACATATGCCGCGTAGACCGCTAATCAGTTCTCATATTAAGACGGTTAGTAATGTGCGATAACAGAGTAGTGTTGGTGAGTTCTATACCACTGACGTAATTCGGAGCGGCTCGGGATGTATATGGTCGGGTATCAGTCAACTCCAGCGAAGCCTTGCGATCCTTCAATTGCCTTAATGAGCTTTTCACGCAGCTGCTGGTAGCTCTCGTAGGGTGGAAGATCGATGCGGTTGAAACTGGTCAAAAGAAATGTTAAGCTAGGGTCAATAACATAAACCACAGAACAGTAAGTAAGTAGGCATTATTTAGGTGTGCATGGTCCATCGTTGACCTCATCCTCACTTTACAGTAGGTGAGATGGAGGCCAAATGCGCACTTATATTTTATTTAAAAAAAATAAGTACAGTAGAAATGGTTATTTAGCGTCAGACGTGTGTCAACTATAGGTCTCGAAAGACCTACTTCAGTCAGCCATTTCGCTTTGCATGGTATGGTTGTGTCATTTTTTCGTGCAAATTCTCTAAAATCGTTTCGGAGTGCAAAAATGTAGTATTTCAAATCATCGGTAAGTCTTATTTTAAGAAATTTTCATTTTTCTGATTATCTATTCGTTCAGATGTTAATCGTTCATCGTAGTCCAGCTACTGGCCGCAAGATGGCAGCACGTTGAATAAAATTTCAATATAACATCAAAACGTCGTAACTTGCAATAAAGGTATTGAACTTTCAACGATATGGCGACTGGGTAAAGTTTAAATTATATTAACAATCCAGAATTTGTTACATCTTTTTATATTAGAAGCTACGACCAATCATTAACAAGGTTTCATAGTGTTTATCATTTTGTTTGTGTACGTTTTGACATCGGTTCCGATAGTAATCGAGGCTTATGGCACTTCCATTGTTTTTTCTTCAGTGATATAAACCGTCTTTGGAGAAAAAGGCAGAACGGACCATATTGTACAATTTGTCACATGTCCAGCAGTATAAACTGTCAGCTTCTTAAATGCAAATATGAATGCTATATAAATAACTTAAACAATAAAATTAAATTGGCGTTTAGCTACAGGAGACTGTAGAGTACGTAATTGTCGCTGACATTGTGTCACAGCCCGTCATGAGTATTAACAAACCTGAGCAGAAACGATTTAGAAAACCTTCATATATTTTATAAATACTGAGCTGATACTAAACAGCTTATTATAAAAAAAAAACTTAATAAATGCACTTCTATAAACCACCTACTCGTCGAGATTAACATGTTATAATAATCACGACACTTCTACGGTAAGTGGTTGATGAGTTAGATAATCTGTAGACTGCCCAGGTTGCAGCATGAAATCAAGGTTACTACTATATTGTTATAATATCATCGGATTTCCATGTTTGCGAATGCTGTTAGTCATTAGCTTTGAAGATGTTTTTCTAACTTGTCAAGAATCTCTCAATTAAAAAATCCGCTTTAAAATCTGTCCGTCCGCCTGAAGTCTGTCTTTTTTGAGGACGGAGTAAAATGACATTTGCCGGGTTGCCAGTTTTCATAAAATTTTAAATTGTCTAGTAGTCGATGTCAACAGTTTTATCGAAAGATTGTGACGATAAGTTTTGCCAAAAATTTCTGAATTGTAAATGCTACGTATTAATGATTAATAATTGCGTTATTGCCTTCTTTATTTTAATTTTGGCCGTTGGTGTACTAGTATCGAAATCACGTTTTGTTCACATACATTTTAATTAATAAGGCGGATTTCATTATCTATATTCGATTTAAATGAAAAACTTTAAAATGCAGTGTATGTATGCATGGACTTACAAAAATTGACAACTCAAATAGCTGCTCGCAAGCGGGCAACACTTTTGCGTAATAAACTGTCATTTTACTCCATCTTCAAAAAGACAGACTACATGACATCATAGACAGTCAGATACACAGATTAAGGCTTCAAATTAATATCTCCCATCTGTTTGCTTCGGGTTCAAACGGGCAAAATTCAACAGTATTCCATACAACACAAAAGCACGATTTAAAATAAACTTGTATTCTGGGAGTGTTTATCGAATGGTCATTCTGCTAACCATGCTAGACGCTATGCAAACGGAGCGTTTTAGCGGACCTTACCAATTTTTCTACATCTTTGTTTTTGGGTTTTAATGACGTTATTGCCGTAGTGCCATCTGTGAGAAATCTATTTTTTCACTTAGCCAGGTACCTTTACAGCTACCAGCACTTGACTAGAGATGTCGCTTTAATAATTGTAATTTTTAAGTTTAATTGAATGTCACGATGTTTGACCACCATGATATTCAATTATTTTTGTGAGACATCAATGAACACACCTGCGCGCGCGGCGCGGAGACGGGAAGGGCTAGTTGCGGGGGAGGGCGGAGGGATACCGGGAGCGGCGACAAGTCACGCACAAAGGTCACGCAGTCGCCCGCGCATTTCCGCCCCGAAAGCGTGTTATCTCGTGCGAATTGCGATACATAGCGCAGCCCCCGCGATGTACTCAAACCGCGAATATTATGAAATGGTGCGACGTTATTTATTAAGTGGCGAAAGTTTGAACGGAGCTCAACGACTGTACGAAGCGGAAAGCCTCCCTCGCCTTCGCAACCAAGGTGTAGTGAATCCTTCGATACCGAACCGTGCCACGATTCTCGCTGCCAATCAAAGGCTGTTAGATCATGGCCAGTTCACTTCTCCTTCACATGCACAAGGGCGTGGAAGGCAAAGACTGCCAGTAGAGATCGAGGAAGAAATCTTCGATTTTTTCGAAAGAAGCCCTCGTGCAAGTACTCGAGATGCACCGAGACGCTTCGAGGTCAGCCAGTACGCCGTCTGGAAGCTGCTCAACACCGCAGGGTTGCACCCTTACCACTTCCAAAAGGTGCAAGCTTTAAGTGATGCAGATGCTGCGCCCCGCCGACCCTTCTGCGAGTGGCTAATTGCGCACCCGACGGCCGTTATAATGTGGACCGATGAGGCTTTGTTTACGCGTGTCGGATTATACAATCAGCACAACGAACACTGGTGGTCATTCCGAAACCCACACATGATAAGGGAAACCTATCATCAAGTGCGTTTTAGTGCCAACGTGTGGGCCGGTATCGTAGGCAATAAAGTACTTGGGCCGTATTTTATCGAGGGACGCTTGACCGGTGGCACGTATCTGGATATGTTGCGTACGGTGATCACGGACTTTGTGGACGAGGTGCCCCTCGTGCACCTGCGCGACTTTTATTTCCAACAAGACGGTGCCCCGCCTCACTACGCCGCCGCGGTGCGCGAATACCTCGGCGCTGAGCACGGCGACCGCTGGATCGGCCGCGGAGGCCCCGTCCCGTGGCCAGCGCGCTCACCGGACCTGACTCCATGTGACTTTTTTTTGTGGGGTGAAATTAAAAGACGTGTGTATGTGGAAGAGGCCCAAAGCCTAAACGCATTAAAACTGCAAATCATACGCGCGTTTGATGAAGTGAAAAGAGACACTGTAGTGCTTAATAAATTGAAAGACAATGTGCAGAAACGTGCTAGACTCTGTTTAGAGAGAAATGGTTTGCATTTTGAACAATTGCTAAAATACACTTAGTTATTAGGATTTTAATCTTTTTTTTGTTTTATTGTAGGCAAGTTGAATTTCATTGATTTTAATTATTGTACATTCTAAGTTGATTCAAATTTTTTAAATACGCCTTATTGCAAAAGGTGCTGCCTACCTACCTACTTTGTAAAATTGCCTTCTGAGTAATTTAAACCTACCTACTACCTAGCTAATTTAAACGTTAACGAGTAACCTAAACTACCTTATCACTATGAAATTTAGGTAGGTACAATAATGCCTTTTGCGATCTGACGGTCCTAAGCCCGTTTAAGTATGAAGGAAAAATTTGCAACTTATGGATGTTATTATTTGTTATCAATCAAATGGCGGGGCGGGGGGCGGAAGCGCAATGCGCGGTGACCATTTACGTCAGGATTTTTTTGGATAATTTTGTAATGCCTTATCTCAATATTTTAGTACTGAATGATACTAAAAGAAAAAATACGTATGTAATTATTTTCATTGCAGATCATAATATGAAATTTTGGATAGTGTTTAAAAAATTTTCCTGTATATATATATATATATATATATATATATATATAGAGCCCAAAATATATAACAAAATATATAGAATAGATAATAACGTCGAATTCGATGTTAATGAAGCAATAATAACATTTTCACAGACAAGAAATTGGTTCTAACAAAACAGTTTATCTTAATGCTGGTCGTAATTTGCGGTTTTTGAACACATCATAGAGGGTTTATATGTGTGTAGATAAAAATTATACCACCAGGTGTCGCTTACCGTACATAGCAGTAATTACTATACTTTTTGTGTATTCGATTTAGAGACCCGGTTCGCGCCCGCGCGAGGGAAAGAGAGGCAAAGAGACGCACCAGGTGTGCGCGCGCGGGTAGTTGGCGGGCGTGCCCCACTTCTCGACGGTGAAGAGCTGCGGCCCGTTGCTGCCGTACAGCTCCTTGAAGCCGTTCATGGGCACGCGCGACGTGCCCGTCACGAACTGCAGCAGGCGCGAGCGCATCTCGTTGGAGAACGACAGCACCACCTGCAACGGCCGCTTTCAGCATTTCTTCGTCACACTTGCTCGGAAATGGTATGATTGCATGGTGCCCCAAATAAAACCCACGGGCCTTTTTTCTTTCCATTACACCCACGGTCGGTGAGGCGTATTTATTTCCTCGCAAATGTGATGAAAAACATTGCATGTATAACGAACGGTAAAAAATACAAAACTCGAGTTATCAAAGCCCTCAGCCTTTGGCTTCGGGTTTCTAATAGATCCTCGTTAGTAATTTCTTACTTGCCGTCCTTAACACACAACGTAGTATCAGCAGCGCGCGTAAAGACGCTAAGTCTTAACAAGGGATATAACATACATAGCAGTAACCTGATAACACTTAATGGGTCAAAAACCATAACGTACCCGCCAGAACCATTGTACCACAAGATGATTAGCATGATAGTCTCCTTTGTACAGCGTGTTTGAGCGCCAGTCTTTAACATCGATGTGCTGAATGCCACACAACAGCAGCTCCAGCTCGTTCTCGTCGAAGATCTTGAGCAGCGGTAACGGCACCAGCTGCCCCAGCCCCTCCAGGAACGCGAGCATCTGCTCTTGCACCCGGTTCACGAATCGCCATTGAATTACTAGTCTGTTAACGGAAATACTTAAGTTCAATATTGTCTATTAACTAAAAAAAGCAGGTACTTTGATAATGTTACAACCCTGCACAATTAAAAGCTTATAATAGCAATGAATTTCCCACGCTTCGTGTAATAAGATTACATCTGCAAAATGATGACTTTTCAAATGAGAGGCATAAACGCCTACAATAAAATTAGTCGATAATTTTGTGCTAATTAAAACAGTTACAAAATTTCACATATTTGTCGGAATGACATTACGACGACGTTCACGAAGCGAACTACATATAGCGCGTTTAATTTATAACCTCCTTTTTGGTTTTAAATCGACCGTTACACTGACTTATTATTTCTAACACATAGATGGCGTTAATATTAATTCGTTAGATAATTGTAGAAGGTCACTACTAGGTTTATTTTTATGACATCAAGTGACGGGACGAACAATCCGTGGGTCTGATGTTAAGCTACACGCCTATTCATAACAATTGTAGTGCCACTCGGAGCTTTAAATTGCAAAGATCTGAGCGACACTATCTCTGCGTCTGACACCCTGAGACATAAGTTGACAAGTCCCATGTGCCTGTAATTTCACCAGCACTCTTACCCTTCAAAACCGGAACATAGTAATGCTGATTTTAATTTAATTGATTGCAATTATTGAAAGGGCAACACCTAATGTTATTACAGGTTAGCCAACTATGTAGTGTACGCAGACGAGGAAAACCGTAGGCGAACATTCATTGTTTGGAATAACCTTGAAGGGCATCGTAATTGAAATTATATAATTCGCGACATATTTCCGCAGTTAAGTGTCTGGAAATTAAGTGTATATAAGTACACGCAATAAACTGGTCGTTGTTCCATTAATAACATTTTCATTTCAAAACCGCCGTAGTCATGGATGATGGTTTCTCCAAAACGTCCCTCCGGAACGTCGCCCGTCATTTACATAATTTTTGTGACTTTCATGTGACAAAGAAAGTACTTTTGACATATGATCACTTGTGGCTTTATTGTGCCAAGGCTGCGATTTTTTAATACTATTTATGAAGAGCAAACGTTAAGAAAACAACGTGGTCATAATTCAAAGAGTGTGGCATGCGATGGCGTATGGAACGGTGGCACTGACTTGATGTACTCGTCCTTGTTGTCGTTGTCGATGGGAATGTTGGCCCCGCCGGGCTTGAGCTCGCGCTGCAGCGTCTGCCCCAGCTGCTCCTCGTCCACGGCGAATGTCAGGTACAGCTCGGACGGGTCGTTTTCCTGCAAGTGTCAAAAGGGCGTAAGAGGCTTCTTACGAGTCGCCTATGCGTCGCCGAGGATTACCTATCAGTAGTCCGAAATGACATCTTCCAGAAATAACGTTGGGTCGAATTTTCATAACCTCGAAAGTAATGTTGAGAGGAAAATGTTTTTTTTTTTCTTTTAAACCTAACCTAACCGAACCTAATCGTGTCTTTGCGATAAACATCCAACATAATATCCTAAAGGAACAACGGTTTCGTTATAATAAAAATAATAATGTAAAGTAATGTAACTCCTTCTTGTAACGTGACAACTTCGTATGAGTAAAATGGGAAGAATGTTATTTTAATTTTAATGAAATAAAAGTGTTTTTTTGTTTTCTTATTAGTTTAGAGACAGAGCTGACAACGAGCAAGCATAAGCGTAATTGAGAATATTTGTCTGGTTGAAATTATTATCATTATTATTGTTCATTACGTTTTTTTTTTCTTTTTTTATAAAAAATAAGTGCGCATTTGACCTCCATCTCACCTGATGGAAAGTGATGATGAAGTTGACGATGTAGTACGCACACCTAAATAATGCCTATTAACTCTCGCCTTGAAAAGGTCAAGTTATAGCGTTCGGGGAACAAGTCTGCAGGCAGGGAATTCCACTCCCTAGTCGATCGCCATATAAATGTGGAACCGAACCGTTTCGTGTATGTACATTAGTCATACGTAGTCATTGTCATATCATTTGTTTTTAACTTAAATTATTAAATGTAAATTAACTGTTCCAACAGATATAATTATTAGTATTCGATGTTTATCGTGACGGTAGTGTAGTAAAATTGTATTATGTTGAAAAACGATGTGTCAACAAGGCCAGGCTGAAAATCAGTACTGCGTGGCCACAAGGATTAAACTAAGCCTGTTCCTTCCGCGGACTGTTGTTGTTCCAACAATATTGTTATATTATTATCTCCTGTTCGTATTACTGTGCGTAGTAAATAAAATAAATGGTTTAAAGTAATAACGTATTAATTGCTATTTTTTTCTTTTCAATTGTAATGTGTTCCATATAACCTACCTATATAATTGTCGAAATTGGATGTAGTTAAACAAAAAGGATCCAATGCACATCCAGTCACTTTCGAGATATGGCAGTTTGAAGTTTAAAAATGTTTCTCACTCTAGTTTGATTTTCAAAACTTATAATGTCAATGTTTATATGTTAGATTTTTTTGTTGATCTGAGAGGTTAAGACTTTAGGAACCGTTTGATACGTACAACTCGTTTTTTGATAATTTATATATAACGTCTAATTGAAACTGTGCCTCATCGAGGATGCTGTGACTTAATCAATGTAAAACTATCAAAAGTCGCAGTTATCGTTCAAATAAAAGGTGCCAAATTAAGATTGCCATTTGAAATTCCCATTGTTTTTTATTTCGCGTCAAAACTCCTAAGTGTTACCTTGATCCACATGAGTGAGTTGTAGTACTCGAGGTCAACGGACTCCATGTCCTGGAGCTCGATCTGTTTGCCCAACATCATCTTGTAAAACGGACGGATGAAGAAAGCTGAACACAAAAAGTATCATAAACACAAAATTGCCTTTATTTTTACTTATAGCTGATCACAGAACAATAAATACGATAGAAGTTCTCAGTTAGCCTCTGACGCGTGCCAACCACAGACATAAAAAAAGGGGAGATATGTAATGACGTTATGTAAGATCGGGTGCCAATGTCGTCACTTTTCAGCTTGTGTGCAATTCAAACTTTACGTTCTATTATCTACTACCATAACTTAAAGATTTTGATTGGGTAGGACTTAAAACGTGAAAACGACGTAACACAATTTAAAATTGAACAAAATTAAACTTACAGTCACTTGAGTAAGTCATATTACAATATTTCAGTATTTTTTTCATCCTGGTTCAGCCATTCACCATCAGGTGGCGTTTTAGTAAAAGTGCTATTAGTATATAATAGCTAACTATTACACGTTAGGTGGCGCTGAAACTCATTTATCGTTACACTAAGAACTCACGGAGCGGTTCTCTTGATCACGACATCTGTAGAATGTAATAGTTAAGTATGTAAAATTAGTAGCACGTTTTACGCCTGTAGTGGTGGCGGTTGCTCGCGGCTGCCGCGGCGGCGTGCTAGTAGGACCGCGCAGGACGCGATGACGTGCGCGCTTGGCGGCCGTCGTCGCCCGCGCACTTTGGCGGTCGGTTCAGGCGCAAGGCGGTGCAGGCGCACGCGGGGTGAGATCTCTATTAACCGCGCGACTTGCGATTAACTCCCACTAACTTCGCGGTCCGTTCCGCAATCGCAACGGTTTCGTGCCCGCAACCGCGGCGGCTACGTGCCCGCGCAAACTTGCAGGGTCGTGAGTATTGAAATAAAGCCGCTGTCTAGCAGCACCGGCGGGCGCGGATGGAAACCGCTCCGTGAATGGTTAACCTTATTAACCTTAAACTGACGCTACTCAACGAGGGATGTGGTCCTACCTAATCGATAATTAGAAACCATGTGGCTGTTTTTTAATATTTAATAAATATTTAGTTTTTCATACTATACCTACACTGGTACTGGTGTAAAATTAATATAAATTATTATCATTTTCTAATGGCGGTCACTAGGCTTGGGCCAGTGTCAATTTTAAAAGAATAATATAAAAATATAGCGATCGTCGCCAGTGTCAGTTTTCCATTATACGTTACCACGGGTTGCTGAAGCTGTCATTGTCAAGCGTAACTCGGACCATTTAATAAATGAAATTATGTTGTTTTTTATGAAGAATTTATGTAGTTTTCTATAATTATTTCTAATTTATTTTGCATGCACATGTAAAATAAAGCTGATTTTATTTTATTTATTTTTTAAATGCATTTGCTATGAAAATTTAAACAAAGTCAGAAACAGTAATAAGAAAACAAATATTTCGATTTTCCTGCAGCTTCAATCCAACATTCCCTTATTTTGAACTCATTGGAAAAACTTAAAAATTAAAAACGTTTCGGGCCCTTTACAGGTCCCATGGTCACGGTTGACAAAGGTGGTACAGTTTTCAACCAGTTATGTCTAATATTAATGCAAACCACCCTATTTTTAACTATAGTTACATTAAGGTTACATTAACATTAATTAATAACTTTTGTCTTCTGTTTTTTTGTGATCTGTAAAGGGCTCCAAACGTTGGTTTGTTTGAAAAAACAAATATACTCGATTTAAATCCGGAAAAATAGTTTCATTTCCAAGATTTCATAGTGTTTATCATTTGTTTGTGTGCGTTTTGGTGACAGCGGTTCCGATAGTAATCGAGGCTTATGGCACTTCCATTGGTTTTTTTTTTCCGAGTAGCTGGTGATACGAATGAATGCTTTATTACCCCATGTGCCAGACCCCCACCAATTGCCTGGTCTCATACTAGAGAATGCCCTGTTGCACTGGCAGGGCAACGTAATCCACTCTGGAGCACTCCCAGAACAGAACAGAAACAATTTCCGGGAATCGAACCCAGGATCCCCGTTTCCACAGTGGAAACCGTTAGGCCACCGAGGTCATCGAGTCTATGTACTAACCGTCAAGCAGCTTCCCGTGATAAACGGCCATGCCGGCGACCCGGCCGATGAACTTGAAGTAGTTCAAGTGCTCCTCGTTGCAGACGCCGCTGTTGGGGTTTATTTGCAGGGTGTAGTTGTCCATCGCCGAGTACTCGAACAGGCCGTAGTAAGGGTTGAACATCTCTTTGGAGAGCAGGAAGAACCATTCGCGAGCTAGGCCGCCGTAGTCTGCGCGCGAAGCCGAAAAGATTACATTATTTATATATTTTTAATTGTTGTGTGCTGTTCATCTACAGAACAATAAACAGTAGAAGTGCTTAGTTTGTGTGACACTTGTGCCAACAGTTCGCTGAGTTGCGCAAACTTGAGCTCAGACCGCCATTTTCACTGTGTACATTATGATCGTGTCAATTATATCGCGCAAAATCTCCAAAAGCGTAGAAAAATACCTTATTTAGTTACTTTGGAGTGCAAAAATGTTAGTTTTGCTTCTAATATTCTCTATGGTCGTGTTTCGCATCATCATCTAGTTTAATTTTATTTAATAATTTTTCAATTTTCAGTTTATCGTAACCATTTTTTTGTTACAACAAACGAAAGTAAACCTTATACCGTTGCAATATGGTCGCTTCTTTTTTAAAGAACGAATAAACATATCGAATTCGTCGTCGTTCAGCTATTAACCGCTAGATGGCAGAACACTGATTGACAATGTAAAACGTCATAACTTGCAACAATAGGTATTGAACCTCCAACGATGTGCCAACGCAGTAAAGTTTAAATTATATTAATAGTCCAGAAACTGTCTCTTTTTAAATTTAAAACTACGACCAATCATTATCAAGATTTCATAATATTTTAAATTATGAATGGGGGAGTTTTAGTGACAGCGGTTCTGACAGTAATCGAGGACTTCCAGTGTTTTTTTTTCTTCCGTGTGTTCATTCCTGTCTAAACTTCAAATTAGTGTATTTAGAAATTGAATATTTTATGTGATTTGGGTAAAACCATGACAATAAGATTTATTATTATTATTACTTCTACGAAAGCGAAGTACAAACGTATGAATGTGTGAAAGTTTGGTAGCAATATGAAAGAAAATATCATGACAAAACCATTTTTTTTATACCAAAAGACGGGACGAACAAGTCGTGCGCCTGGTGGTAAGCGACACGCCTGTCCGTTGCAATGTTACTCAGAACAAAACTCACCCAACCCAACTTCCGACTCGAACTCGACCCAAAGTTTGGTCTTTAGCAGGTCGATGCGACTCACGGAGCTGATGATGCGGTAAGAGTCCTCCAAGATCGAGTTGCGTCGGACCTTTATCTCGAACTTGTTCGGTACGTTGCTCTGGAAGCAACGAAACATATTCACGTCTTTATTAAACGAAGTAAGAAGTCTTTTGGAATGGAGGAATAAAATTAAATATAAACAGAAACAGGCACACTTGACCCATAATGTAATACTAACCGGTTTGCGCAACTGGCTCTTGAGGTACTCGTACTTGCGTTTGTAGTCCCGCGAATAAGGTACGGCGGGGCCCGCAATCTGCGGATTCGACAGCCGAGGGTCCTCCCACTGTGTCGTCCGCGTGTCTGTAGACGCACACGGCATTATCACTTCGACTTTATAAACTAAACAATACAGGACAGACTTTAACACACTTTTTTGAACAGTTTTCATATTTAATTGTGGCCTCTCAAGTCCAAACACTTTAAAAATGAAAAAAATATTTGTAGAACTAAAATTCTAATGCCTACAAAACGCCACAGTTCCTTAACTTACAGTTAGTATATTGAGTTAAAATTTATATTAAATGCCAGTATATTAATGGTCTAAAACTAACAGGTTATTTAAATATATATAGCATTTTGTCTATTTCTATAAATACGATTGTTATAGGGTGATCACACTATATAACATTTTGGTATAAAACTTTAACTTAACCAGAAGCATATTTATTATTTAACTAAAGAAAGAGCATTTTATATTTCTTTTATTTAATTAGGCATGTTTTTGTTGAATTAACAATTATGTCGAAAATTAACAAAATACAAATGGTAAAAAGAATAGGTCCAGAATAGTGCCTCGTGGAAAAATGTCAAGAAGAGATATAAGTAACAAAAATTGTCTAACAAAAACCGTGCTCAACAAATACCAAAACGAAGTGAGTACTGACTGTGGTCGATGAAGAAGATGCGGCCGTCTGTGTGCACCCTCTCCTCCCAGCCCTCGGGCAGAGGCCCCAGGTCGTCGGACTCCGCGCCCGCGCTGGCCGCGGCTGCGCTCGGCAAACTGGACGCGCAACCTGCGGTGCGGCAACTTTCAATTACTAAGTACACCGCGGCACGCCTCTTGTCGGCAGAGGCTACGGATCAGAGTGCAAACTCTCGTAGCGCGACCGATTGTGGGGTTCGTCGGGATTTCGTGCAAGTTCGGCCGGCGGCTGGGGCAAAGCTCAACCAACCAAGCTTTCTGGCTGAACCGCTGGAACTTTTCTCGCTCGCTTACCTAGACTTCACACGCATTAAGTTGTTGTTTTGGCTTTAGAAAGTTTAGTAGACTTCTAGAAATAAACATACAACTAAGTTTAGTACGTCAGTTGGCTATACGACTAAGTTTAGTACGTCAGTTGGCTATACCATTACAAGTATTTCGTTTTTCTTACATTTCGTTCATTTCAGCCTCCTTTCGTTCCAGTCAAACTTTTCGATTCTGTGCTTCTCTAGCACAGGTTTGGCCGGCCACTTTTACTATGCCATTTACAACAATTTGATAGGATTAAGTTACCTTCTGAAACGGTAACTACATCCAGGTGATATTTAATATAAGGCTATCATAAAAACGCATTGTTTTCAAGCGGGCATAAAAGGCATTGTTCTCAGATTTCTTGAAAGACATACCTGTCCTTGGATCAATCCACGTGGTGGTCTTATCGTTGTGGTCGATGAAGAATATCCTGCCGTTTGGCGCGCGCTGCATACTCCAGCCGAGAGGTAGACCTACAATGCGACACATTTCGTTTTTAACCTCGTCATCATAACGCCTGAGGTCGATCTTTGAATGTCTCATTCAGCTAAAAAGTTATTTGATTATAAAGAATTTCAAACTAACAGATTTGGTAAAGTGATTGAGATGGGTATGTGCACCGATAACAAGAGAGTAGACAACCACCAGACTGGTAAACGTTAGTCGCACAAAAGATGTAGAAGTAGTTTGCCGTAGCAGTAGACCTCTACTATTTCTGCCACCAAGCAGTAATGTGGGCATTACGGCGTCTCGGTCTTGAAGGTGCTGGTGAAATTACAGGTACATGGGACTTGTCAACTTATGTCTCAGGAGGGTGACTGGCGCAGTGGCAGTTCCTCTCCGATCTATGCGTTTTAAACTTTGAGTGGCACTGCAACTGTTATGGACAGGCGTGTTGCTTACCACCAGGCCCACTTGTTCGTCCCGTCACTTGGTATTATAAAAAAAAGTTTCAGGATCAAAGAAAGTAGAGAGCCACAATTCTCTATTCCAGAAATGAGTAACAGTACATTAAGGGTGTGACCAATCCCGAGCAGTAGGGCTAGCACGATAGGACGCGGCTTGCGCGAGAAATACTCTATGCGAGAATGGCAGTATCACGAGTTTTTTTTTTTGTAACGCACACACTTATAACCCCGCACTAGGTAAACCCTGTGTCGCGGGTGCCAAGGACACACATAGACAACTACAAATTACACCCAAATACGTTATTATAAATAACGTTATTTCCTGAAATAACGTTTGATCGAAATTTTATAATTTCGAAAGTAATTTTGAGAGGAAAATGTTTTTTCTTTTAAACCTAACTTAACCTAACCGAACCTAATCGTGTCTTTGCGATAAAGATTCAACATATCCTGAAAGAACAACTGTTTCGTTATAATTTAGTTTTCGGTGTAATGCAAATTCGAAAAAACGTTACTTCGGACAAAAAATTTCCGACTTTGTGATAGGTTACCTCACGAGAGACATAAATATGGGCCATACAAATATTTCTATCGGCCGGCAATCGAACGTCGTGGCGCTTGGCAGACCAACATGGTAACCGTTCGGCCACGGTGCATTAAGTCGCTCTCGCGCAAGTCGCGTCCTTTCGTGCTAGCCCTACAGGTAATAATTACGACAACCAACGATTTTATAGTTAAATAACTAATTAATAGGTTCAGGCTGAGTTTGCAGAAATCCATATTAATAAAATGTATACATAAATTACTGCATAATTTGCATAAATTATAATTATAACCATGATAACAGTGGGATATAATTATGATTAAACGTTCTGAGCGAGCTCATTCTCCGTCAGAGAGTCGATCAATCAACAACTCCTCAGGATGCTTCATAAAAGACGAAACACGCTTCGAGTATATTTTTGGTAGTGGAGTTTGTGACTGTAATTGCATTTTATGCGGGAGGTTGGAAAAATTAACTGCTTGAAAAAATATTCAACGCAAGCACATCTATTCTTAACCGACTTCACAATTTTGTTGGATAGAGGGTATGTCGGTAGTGGTCCAATTTAAATTTGAAGAAAATGTTCCACCTCTAAAGGGTAGCAAACTAGATGAACGAACTTTTGATGTCGGTTTTTTTAGTACTCTGTACTGAGATTATACTACATATAATCTTCACTGGATTTGCGGCAATAATTTTGATTAAGTAAGTAACTATTTCCGCAAGAAAAAATGTTGACTTCTCATAAAATATGGCAGCGGTGATTGTGACATTTGTATTGAACAGAACTTTTCTGTGAAATCGAACTATGGTCTCACCTTCTTTCACACACAATTCTAAACTGTATCTTACCATCGCTACTGGGCAGATTCTGGCTCTGCGCGCTACTGGCGCTGCTACTCCTCGTCTCTGTCGACGCGTCCGTCTCGTCCTGCTGAACATAGATCTCTGTCAACTTGGGATCATTGTCTTAGTAAAGATGAGATATATTTGTATAGTAGACTGTACAGTTGCACAGTAGAAACTATAAGGTGTATTTTACAAGCAATAATTTTATCTTATAATAATGTATCATTTAGATGAACTTGTACAGTCAGGTCGAATAATTGAATATAATGTCAAAATATTCAAATGGCTCGTGAGCACATTAAAAAGAAATGTATTATTCAATTATTAATTGGATCATATTATGCAATAATCATTGAAACCACTAATTTCTTTTCACTAATTTTAGTATATATTGGCAAAAGCAATAATAACAAATGTTATAGTAGATTATTTGAATTCTAAATACTGGCGACGGTAAATAGAGCAATGATAGAAGTGTAGTGTCAATTCCTACAAGTGATATCGTATTGGTATTTGCCTCGCCTACGCACCACCACGTGCCACCGGGCTGACAGTCGTACATCGACTACCCCTCTACAGCTGTTTCGTGAAACGCGTGCGCTCACGAATTTATAAACTTCATAAACTGGATAGCTCACTTCGATAAAACGATATTACTAATTTACACCTTATATGATTATGTTAAGGTTTATTTTAAGTAAAAGTAAATAACCTAGCCACGTGAGATAGCTCGAAGTAGTGGTCTGTCCTTGTCTACCAAGTTGCCAACGCTAAATATTATAATATCTTCTACCTAAGAAAATGTTTAATCTATAAACTTTTTAAATTTTGGATCTATATATTTGCTTAAAAGTAATATGCTATTACTGTAAAAAAATTTTATCAACAATGAAACCATCTATTATGAAGTACCATATGAAATAAGTATACTAATTTTTATTATGAAATAGTATTAGTAGTTTTGGTCATCCATAAGTGGCCACATTATCTGTAAAAACTAAAAAGTTTAAACGGCTGGCTGAAAAAGAATGAACACCCTATTAGAAAGAGACGCATTACTACTTTGAAGCCTCTCACTCGGCTCGTTTTACAAGTCCGTGTGTGCGCTTGAGATAAATCATAGACAATTCGCATATAGTACAGTAAGTAATATACACATTCTTTCTTAAGCAATATAGCTCCTTAACTACTGTCCCCACTAGAGGTTCTATTATTACATAAACTGTCATATCATCAAGATTATGTTACTAACCAACAATTAACCGAATCGAATATTTTAGTTTAGTTAATCAAATAAACTATAACAGTAAAGTTGTTGACAAATAATTGACCTTTAGGTAATTATAACAATTTTGACAACATATTCAAATATTTAAAAGTTAATAACTAGTGCAAATACATAGTATGTACAAATGATATGTGTGCCTGGCACCAATACTTAGCTTAGATAACCTAGCATTACCTGTTCTAGAAGAAGTTTGACAAGTTGACAATAACCAGTCATCACATAATACAGGCTGATAAAAATGTGTACGTCTAAAATATCATGGGAGACTCTATCCACGAACGATTTACTTTTTGAGGAAATTATAATCAGTTCTTTGTTAGTTGAGTCAGAATTTCACTCATTAATTATGTCACGTTTATCGTAATTTTGTTATATAGATTACAGTGGCGGGGCGTGAAAATTGTCGTTAGTGAAGCCGGAGCAACAAAAAACACTTCCCCTAAGAAAAAGTGACGCCTTGCTGACACTTAAACACAACACATTAGCACACAAGGTACTTCATTTCACTAGTTAACTTATTCTACATATAAAATTTAGCACAAAATGTAGTATTTGATAATACGTAGAAAATTTTAGGCAAGCCGGTGGAAATCGAGTTATATGGACGCCTCGCTACTGGTAGATTATTATTATCTATAATATCTGTACATGAAAGACAAAAGACCTCAAGTTCATACTTTGAAATTTAGACGTTTTTAACAAATATTGCTTCAGAATGCTAAAAATCAAGCAATGTTAAAAGACATTAAGTGCTATCGTCGTTTATTTTTTATTTAATAATATTTTATTTATACAAGTACCATAATAAAGTTCACCCATAGGCGCGTGGCTCAGCTTCTTTACGCCGCAATAGGCAACTTTAAAATAAAACTCATTGGTATGTGTGGGAAGCAACCGTTTTTTAACTAGACTAAGATGTAATAATAAACATCTTTCCTACGAATAAATTTCATTTAAAGTTATTTTTCCTATTCACAAACACAAAATCCACACGAAATAGTTCTATCAGCGGATTATGTTTTAATCACAAATTAGACATTAATATTAAAGAGGGTTATTTATAAAATACTAACAACCTCACAGAACTATATTACTATTATCAAACAACTTTTGTTCCATGACTTTTCATAATTGATCATACTTTCGTATAAAAATAAAAATATTTAAACAGATCAGTCTATATGGTGATAACTCTTTGAGACGCAACACGCAGGAGCGGGGAGGAGATCGTCGGGGAGGACGCTTGCACGTTTGAACGTACTACCTTACTATAGATATAAAAAGTGTAAGATCAGTAAAAAAACTTAAAAGTTTTATATTTAAAATGTTTGGTAAAAAGTCATGGACAAAAGTTGTTTTTTTGATGTTACCAATACCTACAGTTCTGCCAGGTTGTTGATATTTTAAAAACAATATATCAATGCCATGACTAGAGCCACCCCATGACATTTCAAACTTACAATCAACAGCACGGTCTACACAGCTTTATAGAGAATACACAAGGTTACTCTTTGCTAACTTGTCAACTGAATATTGGCACAAATTTAATTACTTAACCATTACGTAGTAAATAAATCCTTATTTAATAAATCATTCTTCATGTTCTAGTAAATACGTAACAAAAAACTATCTATATTAAATATCTAAAATACATGCTTCATACACTAAGCTACATAAAGCAAACAGGCACAAGCAAAGCCGTGTGACACATCGGTAGCTGTCAAATAACTGTCAAAAAGAAGTCAATCTCGGACTGTAGACATGTCAAGTTGCGACGAGAAAGCACATAATTATAACGAAACACAAAAGCGCATTGACAAATTTGACAATACACGAATACCTCAATTTCAAATTAAAAAAATTTACAGATACATACCGATGTAACTTCCAAACTTTACCATAAATTGATTTGACGGATACAAAAATATTGCCATCCCATTCAAACCAAAGTAGAGTAAAAGGATTGAGAATATTTTTAGACCTGTATTTTTAATTGTGTTTAAAAATCGGGAGTCCAAATCTACACCACTTACTTCTTACTTTGGAAAACGTGCCGTCATATCGAGAGAACGTTATTTTACTAAATATATAATTTTAAGTATCAATACGCGCACTGGAAAGGATTACATGGAATAATGCAATGTTCAAAATCATGGATGACCTTGAATACTGACAACCGGGAACAAACAATGTTTTCAAAGAAACATGTCTATAGTCCGTTGAAAACTCAAATGTTAGTAATATTAAAGATATTTGTGAAATAGATAGAGATTGTTCAGAAATATAAAATGCCAGTTACAACTAATGAAATGACGATCAATGTGCAGGAAACCAATTCACACTGTCATATGTATGAAAAATTCGGAATCTTATCACGAGACGAAATGGACAAGGAAATGAAATTACAAAATTCCTCTTCCTTTCGCAATACTAAATAACATAATTATGTTTGAAAAGTAACGTGTATCGAATGAACACAGGGTAAAGATTTATTCTCCGAAAAAAACCATTAAACACAGCATTCATGAAATTATTTGAAACTCGTAGAACTACAATTAGGACAGTGCTGTTAAAATATTTTAGGTTTATTAAATACAATCCTGCATAATAATCACAATACCGTTATTATAGAGATTGACCATACACTGACATGGAGTCTCTTGTACGAAGATATATGGTAAAGGCGCGGTATCAATATATGACCATTGTCATGTAGTGCGTAATTAATACCATGATGTTCCCGGTTTTTTTAATTAATATTGTTGACCTGATGTATTATTATATTACGTGTGTTAATGAAAGCTGGACGGCCGAACGTTGTACCTCACACGTCCTCATAGACAAATTCCCAAAGCACGCGTGATTCGTAGGGCATGAAAATGCGGAGGGAGACGAGAAACGTTGCAGGAAATATCTCGATGAAGTTCCACAGACAAAGAGAGGAGCGAACTTACTTATTTATTTATGCAAGTATACAATACAGACTGAAGTTCATAATTTCACACAAAGCAAAAAATAGGAACATATCTCTCAAATGACTCATATCTTATAGTCGGTATGAACTGACTGACCTCAGAATGTCGCACGGACAATTCTGTTTGTGTTTTTCGAATAGTAAATTCTCAACTAGTATTATTTTTTCACTTCATTTGTTTTAAATTCTGTTTCCCGTCGCCTCCGCACTGTTCACGTCATCCTTACCTCAGAGTCCTCCAGCGAGCTGGTGGTTGTCCGGCGTCTGCGGCCACGTGGCGTCCGCGCCGGCGAAGACCCGCCCACCGGTGTACTGAAGTGATTCTCATCGAACGTCAACGCCTCCTCAGACCTTTCCACCTCATTCTCATTACCATCCGTTTGATCACCTTCATTTCTTCTTTCTGTAGATTCTACAATTGCCCGCGCGTCATTCTCTATCTGATTCAGTGCTGTTTCAATTGAATTTAGAATCACTTCCTCTGCGATCTCCATTGTCGCTTCAGGTGTTGTTCTACTTTCATTGTTTTCCTCAACTGGTTGGCCTTGTTCATTTTCGTCTCTCGGTTCAGCATCAGTTTCTTCCTGATCAATTTCGGCCTGATTTTGGTCCTGGTCAAGTTGCGAGGGGGTATTATTCTGACTAGCGTCCGCCTCGCTATCACATTCTTGAGCTTCGTTGTTTTGCTTTAATCGCTCCTTAGCGCATACAACGTCGTCGTCTTCTTGATTATTTCTAATATCACAGTCGGTTTCACTTAAACTATTCGGGCCGTTTTGTTCCTGTACATTATCATTATCGGATTCGAAGCTACTTCTAGGGACCTGTTCTCCCTGATCAGTAGTCTCGTCATTTTCTTGTATTGGTAAATGAATGGGTGAGGTAAATGGCGTGTTGTCCGTAGAGTTACTCTCACTCCTATTGCTATCCTCCTGTCAGACAATATTTGATATTACGAACGTACTAACTTATTTGTGCAGCTCGAATTTTTAGCTCAGAGCGAAAGCAAGTACTCGATTACCGCAAATAAAGTTTTAGCTTCAAAATAACTGCGCGTGTTAAAATCATACATATCTTAAGAATTTAATCTTTCTATCTCTCAATTATAATTGAAGCTCGGATTTTTCGTTCGCTATGAACTACGGTTTTGTTTTTATAACCGCACATATAAGTATGTAGTCCTTTTAAAGGCTGATGTAAGATCTTTCACAAATAATTATGTACTTATTGTCTAATATCTGTCGTATTCAGGATTAAAAATAGTAGTCTCAAACTGCATTTGGGAGTTAAGTCTTAAATTTACGTTTTTTTATTGACAAATGCTCAAAAAGTGAGCCAGTAAAAGAAACACATATTAACAAAAACAACATACGAACTTACTTTTACAGGGTTCATTATGTTTGCTAGGTTCAATCTCAATTTACAAGTTCGAAAGATCTTACACCAGCGAATGGGCTCATAAGCACAAGCTCATGTGTGCCGCAGGTTTGTCTATGGTGGTGAGGACAACACAACACTCGAGTATAGCGATCAGAGTTTAGTATCGTGTTAATAGGATACTGAATGCTCACTATTACTGTTTTACGCGACGACGGAATGGAAGTATTATGATTTTCAAACTTTTCGTCTATTCTGCGTATATTAGTCATCACAGCTCTCGAACGTAGTACAAGGTGTTAAATTTGATCTAGGTAATTTTATGAACGGGGTGTACACCACGCTGATTCCCAAAAACAATTTTGAAAAACAAACCTAATAGAGACGGTTAAATTCCTTGTCTTCTCTGTCCTGAAATTAGCTTCTTGTATGGCTACCTCTCATCCACCAATTAAGGAACAGTTCTGCCCAAGTCCTCCGTTAAAGAAGTAAATGTACACGAGGTGTGAGTAGAATATTTTCGTAAAGCCACGATAAACGGATCATCGCTTGGACGTCTCACAGTACACTGTTTGGCGCCAGCGCCTGCTCCCTACGCACATTTTTTACATGTTCGTTCCCGAATCGAATGCTGTGCTCAACCTACTACCTTGCGTGGACAATACGGCCGAACTGTGTTTAAACATAAGGTAGTTTTTTTTAATGAAAATTTAAGACACAAAATTTTTGGGAACCAGTATTATCTATGATACATTATGACGTGATTAACACCCAGTATGTAGTGATTTTATTGTCCATTTTGTATGAATTTTTGGGATTCCGAATGGTCCAGGAGATATTTATGTATATCCATAAAGGATCTTCAGGTTCTTTATACTACTTTCATACTACGAAATATAAAAAAATAAAAAAAAATATATAAACACCTACACATCACAAGAATTTAGACAGTATATCTATCTACTCCATAGTGAGCACACAGTTAATGTTCTGTTAGTTCAAAATGTTTATGCGGAGGCCATGCTGCGTATTATACTTAGAATATCGACTCTATCTTAAAATAGAAATAAACAACCAGTACAGAAATTTGTCATTCCTATAAAAGCATGCACGTCTATGATATAGAAATAAAGAGACTTGAACATCGATATGAGCATGCAAGGAAAACCACATAACAGATTTAGAAGGTTTTTAAACGATTATAATCGACGCAAACTCAAGCCGCATTTACATTATGTTAACTCCGGTGTACTACGTGAGTTCTCCTCGACAAATAATCATACTGTGATAAGTTTAAAACCGACTAAATTTTTTGAAAAGTGAAGAGATAACCACTTAGCACACTGCACTTTCATTCTGTTTCAACGTCCTGGATATGCTTTACTACACAGGATTAAAGAAGGAATTAATTTTAATCCTTCAGAATACTCAAACATCGTCATAAGCATGCTTGATATCAATAATCAAATTTCAAGTTCATGTTGCAAAAAGCACATATAGTAAAATCTTAAACATTGAATTACATAAACCTTTCAAAGGATCAATTATTTTAAACGATAATTTGTTATACCATTAATATAATACAGTCACCTACATTTTAAGTTACGCTAAAAAAACTAAGCACATTTGGACCTTATTTCGATGAAACAAGAAAACAAGGTCTATACGAATGTGGTAATCTTAGGAAAATTACTTCAAAATTGCGACAGGTAATAATACTTCATATCGACATGAACCTCGGTTTTATCGAAGCATTTAATCTCTAATTTAAACTTATGAAAAATTTACGTTACTTTATATCATGTTTTGTCACAAAATCTCATCAATACATACATACAAGTTGGTATATAGACAACGGAAACTTTATTTACCTAAATTTAGATTATATTCCCTACATTCCCTCCTAACCCACATAATAACCTAAACCACATACCTGGTGACGGTGCTGCGGCGAAGCGTTAGTCTCGTCGTTGTCGTGCGAAATGTGGAAACGCCTCTGAAACTCCGTCGCTGCAGTCTCCATGCGTTCAGCTTGCGATTCCGTACTTATATTGCGTCTGTTGAAACGTTTTGTTGGAGTTCAGTATTTACCAAAGCCTTTGATAGCTTCGATTTAGAGAAAAAGTTTGTACGGAAGAGCCTCCTAAGCGTTTTAGAAATCTAATACCGATATACAGACAGATAAAATGTTTTACTGAGTTAGTTTCTTTATTTTCTTCACTTCTTCGTAATAATTACATGTTTGTATTCTTTTTTAAGAGTGCCGCAAGGGCCACATTTAGGTCCATCATCCATTAGTTTGTTATGTATTTATATAATACACTTTTTATTTAATTTTAAATTTATTTTTAATTCAAGCTAATCTCATAGTCTGTCAATAGCTCGTGGTACAAAATCGTACTTACTGGAAAGTAGGCCGCTCCCACTGTGTAGAACGGGCTACGTGGTTGACATAGTAAGTCCTGCCGTTGGCGTCCTGTCTCTCCTCCCATCCTGGCGGTAGAGGGTCCCCGCCTATCGTCTGAAACAAGAGAGAATATAATATCAACCTAATATTCATTACACTGGTTGAAATTTATGCATAAATAGGGTTGACACCATTTATAAGCACGAATCAGCACCGCGCGTCCATACTAACTGTCTTTTATACGCGGTTATATCAGCATCAACTTTTTTCATTAAAAAGCACCAACGAGTTTAGTATGTAATGAAAGTTTATTAACTATATAAAGATATAATACAAAAATATAATAATTGTAACATAAGTCACAACATGTTAAATGAGGACGACGTATAGGTACATAGAAATTTAAAATAAAATACATTTGCTATATATAAAACTTAACATGATAAAAATTCTTATATACATGATGAATAATGATGACACACAAGTTTCATAGATTTTATAGTGTCTGAATGATAAATAGAAATTATTTCTTAATTATTATTTTTTATATAACATTTTTACATATATTTGCTGTAGAATCAAAGCCATTGCTACATAAACTATGAACACTATATACGGCCTTTACATATCACCAACACCTTCCACATTTTGCCCATGTCCGCCAAAGTATTTGTCTACCGTCACACAAATTCACCCATTTTACATGCTGCATCTTGTAGGATTGAAGCCATTAAGCAAACAATAAATAATGAAAGGTATATAGCTAGACTGCCATACGTCGGCCTTCTCATGGTCTACAGGAAGTGAAAAGAAGACGCTATTGACTAATCATCACCGTCTCATCATCTGCAGAGCCTAATTTAATATCTACAGCAATCACAAGTGTTCCCGTAAATCACAGGAACGATTATCACTAATTACAGGTTTCTTTACAGAGTACAAGTTCTTTTTAACCGACTTCAAAGAAAGAAAGAGTTTCTTAATTCGCCCGTATTTTTTTGTGTGTATGTTATGCGATAACACGGCATTTGTGAACCGATTTTGACGATTCTTTTTTTATTGAAAAGATGGTACTTCAGTCGTTGTCCCATTTAAACTAAAAGAAAACGTTCCACCTCTAAAGTAAATTGTAAAGCAAATCCGGTTTCACGCACTTTCCGGAAACCGATTTCAATGAAACTTGGCAAATAGATGCAATTCCACGAACTTTTGAGGTCGATATTTTTAGTACTCTCTACTGAGATTATAATAATCTATCCATCTTTTTAGCCGACAAACTACCGCCGGCCGCCTCGCGCCAAATTCGCGCCCTGTCCGCGGACTTTTGATTTTATTTACTAAAAATAATATCACGGTTAGCTAGAAGACTTTGGTTCGAATCCAGCCTGATCGAAAGAAATATTTATAATATTTCAATAATTATAATAATTAATTATTAATACAAATGTCGAACACAAAAAAACCTTCGATCTGACAGAACTCGAACCTGCATCTGTATGCCAATCCAGGGCCGCTTCTCTACCGAGCTACAGAGCAGGCCTTACGAATTTCTCTATGCGTTTGTTACAGATCTTTGTTTTTTGGTTTTAACTGCTTTTTTACCTATGAGTAATTTATAAAAAAATTTGCTCACCCAACCGCATACCAGGTACCAGAAGATGACAAGAGATGTCGCTTTATGAATTTTAATATTGATTTTATTGAGTACCATAATGTTTTAATACCATAATATTAATTTATTTTTATTTTTCCGATATTTCGGAACGGCTACACGCTCCATGGCCGCGGGTTGACTGGCCAGCGGCAGATACCAACTTCACGGTTAAACGTTGTTTAACAAGAATTTTTTTATATAATACCAAGTGACGGGACGAATAAGTCGTGCGCCTGGTGGTAAGCGACACGCCTGTCCATAACAGTTGCAGCGCCACTCAGAGCTTTAAGTCGCAAGGATCTTAGGTGCCTCTGCGCCCGTCACCCAGAGACAAGTTGACAAGTACCTGTAATTTTACCAGCGCCCTTACCTTCCCAAACCGCAACGCAGTAATGTGAGCATTAATGCTTGGCGGCAGAAATAGGTAAAGTGGCAGTACTTCTCTGGACGAAATCTTTCACAAGGAGCTCTACTGCTACAAAAAACAATCCAGTGCGTGGAATACGGTATGTGTGTTTGTTGACAAAAAACATGAGTGACAATGGCAACACCACAAGTAATCGAGATGTAGGTAGTCATCAACAGCGAAAGAGGGTAAACAGATATGTCTGTTCTTAAAGTTGTCATCTGTCACTGGCCAGTCAAACCGTCACCATGGAGTGTATAAATGTACTGAAATATTGAGAAAATAACAAGAACTCATATCGTGGTAAGAAATCTGTAATTAGTAATACATAATCATTTAGTGAATAACCACGAAAGTCTTAAAATCTAAATCATAGGAACGTTATAGGTCACGATTGGTTCCGTATCTAACTACTTTATTACGGGGCATTACGTTTATATTCCCGTATTCCATAGACCATAGAAAAGTCGTGCTTATGACGTTCAAGCTATAAAGTAACGTACTAAATGAGCGAATTCCGCCGGATCTAGCAACTCCCAGTCGTCTCCGTTGAACGAAGGCACGGTCTCTCCCCCGGTTCGAGACTGTCCCTCTAGAGATTCTGTCTGAGACTGTACCCGCATCACCTACCGCCCAAATACATAATGCTAACGAAATTGAGAAGCAAGCCGAATTTTCGTTTTTTTCACTGTACAGTCATATACATGAGATACCTGACCCCCTAACATGCCCTAAGCGACCTTTTGGTTCTGAGAACAAAGAAAAAATTATAGCAATTTCAACTTTATAATGTAAGCAATACAGTGGAGTGTTGCTTGAAGATAATCAACATATCTTTAAAACCAATACTAAATTTCGTCATTTAACTTCCAAGTAAATTGGACGAGCGGCTTGTTGTATCGACGGCCAGTTACAATACCCGTGATTCGATTCCACGAGCACTGTTTTGTTTTAACATTATATTTTTAACAGCATTGTTTCACTTTTTAATGTTAACGTTGACAAATCACAATATTTGTTCACTAGAAATTGCCCAGGGTGGGTGGGTAGATATTATTAATAAAGCGTAGGGTGGGTATGGATAGATTAACAAATTATGAAATCGCTCTGCAGTTTGCATACCGTCGCTGGAAAGCGATAATGCTGTAACACTCAAAAACTCAACTTTTCACTGGAGCCAAAACAAAAATTGCAAAAACGAAAAAAATCATAACTCTGAAACGGTGAGTTTTTTGTTTTTTGCCTAATTTAGCAAATAAACCTATAAAAAATAGGACTTCTTAACAATAAACTCGGATTTGAAATAGTCCAACTCCTAATGACGATAATGTGGGTTACGACAATTTGATTTTCAGATTTTAACCCCAAAGAATGCTGTAACTTTCAAGTTACTTTGTATGAAGGTGCGACTAATGCCGTCAATTCACGGTACTCTAAGAGCGATGAAAATGAATTAGAGCTCCTTAACACATTTTTGGTCTTTAAATGTTAACTTCTTGAAGATGTACGAAATTCAATATTGTTGTAAGAGTATTTTTTAAACCAAAGCAGGTAACATTAAAATGGTGTTAGTGAAAATCACACGCAATTTACATGGCTTTTAAATAAACATATTATTAAAAAGAACCACTATTTGTGAAAAAGACTTTGGTCACTATGAGTCGGTACAACGAAACAAATCGAATTATAATATTGGAGATTTAACACAATAAATACTTTGTGTGCCATATGCCATCAACAGTTACGTATTTCAATTTATATTTAATATAATAGATCAATTACTATGCTATGTATTGTAATTATTGAACGTATTCATTAAAAGTACAGAAAAGTTTGTAAAGCGAAGGATAGACCGAGTTCATAGGGGGCGCCACCGGCGTACAAAAGTTGAGGCGGTAAGGTGAGATTGGAGGTTTGAAGGTAAGGATTTGTAAAGGAAGTGAGTGTTGAATAAACACAATTATTGAAAAGTGAGTATGTCTACTTGTTTTACTCTTATCTGCCCATTTTCCCTTTATGTAACCAATGATTATATTGAAATTTAACTCTAGTAGCATAGCGTTCGTCGACAGAAAATTGTTTTGTCGTCCTCTTTTAGCGCACCTAGGCATTTTCTTCTTTTTTGTGACATTATTTGTGTTTTTATATTTGTTAGCACGTGTAGAGTATATTTTATACGTGTATCTATTTTATTATTAATTAAACTTTGTGGTATGCACGACTTAACATACCTACAGTCATTTAGACTATTGATAGTAAACTATTATAACATAATCTGTGCTAATGGCTGTGCCAGGGTTCAAGCTATGTAGAAATAAGATTTTGTGATACATGAGTTTGCTGAATAAATGATGATGGTTACTGTTATGCGAAGTGAGAAAAAACTTCATAAAAAGACGGATACGCACTACAGGTATAAACATTTCTCTGCCTACCCCGATGGGAAAACGGCGAGAGATATATGTATGTATCCAGAAAATGGCTTGTTTGCAATATTGTATCTAAATCCGTTTTAGTGAGTTAGTGAATAATAATCACCTAAACATATTAACATAATTACATATCACAATAACTATGAACTTTGTAGGATTTTTCAGTCGAATAAAATCACTTTAATCATGGTGATTTGGGTAAATTTCACCATAATTTAAATGCATCGTATTTACGAGTCTTACGCAGTTCATTAATTTCGAACTCTTATGGTCTGAATAAATAAATGAGATTAAATATAATAAGTAATAAAATAAAATAATATGTTCAATAATAATTGAAAAAATACTTTCGATATTGCTATAAAAAACCTTGGACAACATACACAAGTACCCTCACTGCTGCATGCGTAGTCTATAAAGATTGCTGTAAGTCGCGGTGTCATTAAGCGAGGGCAGGATAAAATGACGTAAGAAGTTCTGTACTTTTTATATTTGTTTTTAAATAGCGTAACACTCATTGCACTGTTAAAACTCGGACTTTTAAAACGCTGTAAATCACATTAACCGTACTTAACAACACCCAAGTAAATGCTATAAGCGGTATAACTTTAAAATGCTGTCATCGGAGGCACAGAAAAATTTAATTACGTGTTCTTGATGTAACGCATATTTCGCAAAAAAGCACTGGATTTTATGTGGGTTAAATCGTTTTAAAATTCCTTAATCAGAAAAACTTTTTAAAAATATTATGCTGTTTTCTGAGTTTATTTTTCATTTTAGGGACATGAGACCCAGAACCAATCGAAGCATAAAAAAAACTGAACAAGAATATGCAAAAAAAGCATTTTTGCAAGTATAGCGGGTACAGCTACAGCATTGTCGCTTTCCAGAGACGAACGATCGTGACTTCTGAGATTACGCATTGTTTCACGTTTCGTTCCTATTTGTCTATTCAGTTTTAATTACTTTCAAGGTTTTAGTGACTTTCAAAGATTTCTTTCTTGTTTTAATATGCCGCACTTAACGCAATTATTAAAATTAGAAATTATTGTTCTGTATGAACAAGACTTAGACATTCCTTACATCTATTCAGACGTTAAAAACAAAAAACAAAAAGCCATATTGTAAAGTCATAGCTAAACAATATTTTATTTTTAAAGTGACTCGAACCATGTATGCCTTAATTCGCAAAGCAATCCTTATACCGTTCGGCCACGACGGCGTTACTAAAGCTGGTTGAAATTTGTGTTCTGTATTTAAGTAAGAACCATACGTTAAAGATCAAATTCGCTTAAAAACATATACTAAAAATAAATTTTACAGCTCACAGGTTAAAGATTAAGTTTGTTTAACAATTTTCTCCACATTTTTGTGCTCAGAACCAAAAGGTCGACAAAGTCGGCTTGGGGGGTCAGGTATCTTGTGTATATTATAACACTGTACGTCGAAGTCAGAGACACACTTAACAATACATATGCGATATTAGAATAAAATTGTCAAGTTACAACTAAAGACGTACAATCTGTTGAAATTATATGTTAAAATTGTACTTTGTCACTTATATAAAAATTACAGCTTGTATAGCTTAACCCCGCTTTATGGGTATCGCTTTTGTACAATTTAATATTATAATATCAGACGCACCTTAACGATATTCTGGGAAAAATAAATTAAAAACAAATTAAGTATAGTCTATTATAACCTTAGCCTTCCGCTCCCAAGCTTCCCAAATATTATAATAAGATAAATTAAAAGTTGATTATGATTATAGCAAAGTACAAAAAGTCTCTGATTGCCATGTCAGAGGAAAACTGACGAAAATACAAAAAATAAACGATACTCTGGTTGTAGGTGCTCGAAAACACAGCCGCAGGCAGAGAAAGCCATCCCTGGGCTGTTCGCATAATAAAAGGTGACGAAAAGAGCTTAGTACGCTAGGCAATATCGACCAAATAGGAATGATATCCCGCCGTACGTCTGAATGTCCGATGGTAAAAGGGGCACAATCACAGATATATTCTGTAGAAAACCGATGGACAGACTTTGCGCCAGTGGTGTAAGCTATGAAGTTTAAATTCGACTTATCGTCGCCAATAAGATTCCTGTACTGTGGTACTGCGTTCTCAATAAATAAACTTACCGGCTGCACCTGTCCCACCTGCGTAGTGGGTTCCACCATCTCCCAGTCATTTTCAGCAGGCGCCGCCTCTTCGGTTTCCCCCACTCTCCCCACTAACGCGTGGTAGATTTCGATGTAACCACGCACTCTAGAACGGGCACTAGAAACATAAATATAATATTAGAAAATCTGTCTGCACATTCAGAATCTTTCAGTATAGCGTGAGATCATCCCTTTATCCCGTCCTATTGAATTAATAACATGATCTTTTTAGTACATTAAAGTTACACAGTAATCCTTTTCACGGTCTAAATAAGAAACCTAGCGTTTTTCGACATCAATTATATTTACCACGAGGAGCCATTGTCTCATTGTTCATTACATTTTGAATGGCACCGCGTTTAAATTACTGACTGGCTTAATAAATCCATGTTGCACCTAGTTTAGTACGTTGAAATGAATTTGAGTCAATGTACAGTCAACAGCATATTAAGCTATATAGTCTGTCCTTTTTTAAAATGGAATAAAGTGACAGTTAATTGCGCAAAGTACTGCTCATTTGTAAACAGCTAGTGATTGCAGTCGATAAATATTCTATCGACTATCGGCTGAATGTTGGTCACGCTTATGCACTAAATAGCCGAACTTGTTTCATTTGAATCACCGTCGGCCCACTGCAGGGTACAGGTTCATTTGAATTATCAATTTTTGTAAGTTCATGCCTTTTTCATTTTAATTCATTATAAATTAATCAAATCCGCCATAAGAAATAAAAATTAATTTGAATTGTCAAAATAAGAATGGAGAAGTTAGTTATTAATCATCAGAATATCGTAACATTCACAATTCAAAAATGTTTGCCAAAATGTTACCTTCATTCACAATCTATCGATAAAACTGTCGACAAGAACTACACGACTATTTGAAACTTTCAGGAAAACAAGCAACTCTGCAAATGTCATTTCACTCCGCCTTCAAAAAAAAAACAGACTATATACATTTTATTCAAATATTGCCTCCACAGCAATGGAATGAGATCCATCAATGTGTAGGTTAATATGCTGCCGTCTGTCTAATATACCTTCAATAGTTTGTTTGCCTAATTTTTGACACAGTGAGCTATTCTTATTTTGTTACATGAGAACTTCAACACAACTGTGTTTTGAAAAATAAATTAAGTATAAATTATTGATTCATGAAGATATTGATACATATATGACTAGAGTAAATAGGCATCCACTGGACAAACGTGACATTGTCTGTGCCTATTTTATATTTATTCAAATCTCATTGCATTTAGGCAATTAGAAATTGTGTTCAGGAACGAACTGCTGTTACGTAACAAGTTTTCTTAATTCAGGAATCGGGTAATTATTTAATTGTAATAACACCAAAATGGTATTTCCGTGAATAACTGTCGTACGTTCAAAACAAAAGTCACGAAAGCGAAAATTTAAATTTATTTTTAACCGACTTGATTGAATGGAGTAAGATTACGCGATTATTGGTAAACCTATTTCGATGATTTTTTTTTTATTGGAAAGGGGGGTTAGGTTAGCTCTGTAGTGGTCCCATTTAAATAATTAGGATATATTCCACCTGTAAGGGTGGCAAATTAGGGAATGACTCCGGTTTATTGGATTTCACCCATTTTCCATTAACCGATTTCAATAAAACTTGGCAAATAGATGTATCCCAAAAAAGTAAATTTAAAAAAAAATCAACTTTCTTGTTTAGTGACAGTATTGATTTCGACGTGCGATATATTATTATTAGTATTCAAAAATAATAATAATGTGGATAATTAAAGATTTTTTCCGAGAATCACACATTGTGTCCACGTGCTCACAAAATCTAGAAAACACCCAACGACATAATTTTTTACTACTACAACAACTAAACAAAACTGCCAAATTACAAAACAAGATAACTTTTTATTTCCATTTGAAAGCGGTCACACAGTGAAATAAACAACACTACTGCATAAAAAAAATGGTACATTTTTACAAAGGCGGTAAGTAGGCAATTCCGAACAGAGAGACAGATTCAAATAAAGGCCCGAACGTTTGTAATTGCTATTCAGCCTATAAAGCATACAATATGTCACATCACACGTTCGATAAGGTGGAAAAAAAAGAAAGGCGAAATGGCATTGTGATTGCGTAGGTTCTCAAGCATGTGAATGGTGAAATTGCAGGCACATGGGACTTGTCAACTTACGTCTCAGGGTGACGGGCAGCGGAGGTGCCCTTCAATTCTTTGCGATTTAAAGCTCTGAGTGACACTGCAACTGATATGGACAGGCGTAGCTTACCAACAGGCGCACGATTTTGTTCGTCACGTCACTTATTATAAAGAGTCCGATATTATAAAAAAAATGTGACGTAGACGCATTGACCTACTAGGTCAATACGTAGACGCGAATAAAATCATTGCACGATATTTAAACATTTGCCATTTAGAAAGAAAATATGCTCTCTTACTGTAAAATAAGCTCATAGCCCTGACGTATTTATTACAGAACACGAGAAAGAAAATTGAAAAATCTCTAATAACCAGTGATATGAATTAAGGGAGTTAATTTAGCTAAACTAAAGAATAACGTGGAGATTTCCTTCTACAAATCCTGGGCCTCTCGGAATTGATTATATTTGAATATATGCGTATTATTTATTGAAATTTGAATACAACAATGGCAAAAATTTTGTATCAAATATTTGGTACAAATTATTGTCTCAGAAAACAAAATTGTTGTTGTGGTTCTATAGGCAATTACGTATTTAAATATTTTAGACATTTAAAATATAAACATGGGACAATCTGTCGATATCTCCAATGAACACTACGGCAACTTAATTTTTTGGTCATCTCTGTTTTCGGTTTTCACAATAATAGTTTACTTTTCGATTTTTTTTTGTTTATTGCTTTTCACATAATTTGTTGAGCATAATATAAGGCTATTTACATTAAAAACAGAAATGACCAATGAATTAACTTACTTTAATGTTTAGAAAACAAACTAATTTTATACGCATTGACGCAATGGGTATGTCCATACTAAGAAAAAATTCATACTTTAGATAGATTAACTCCCGAAATTCCGATCACTGCTAATAACAATTAGATTGAAAACGATTTTTCATTAGATTAAAAAAAAAGACAATTTTGCGGAAGTACGTGATTTTGGACGCCATAGTTCACTATCGGTAAGTTCTGTATTATTTTTCAATTGAAAAAACATTTTGAACTCGTATTTTGTAATGTCCAGAAAACAAATTTTCCGAATGGTCGAATTACGTCATAACGTTTCACTTCAACTTTGTAAACGTTATACTATATTCATATTATATTATTTAGAAAATGTTAACTATGTTAGAAAAAATGTTACTAAAACTTTTTGCTTTGGCATCATACCATATCTGAGTAGATCTTATAAAATGACAAATGAAATAAATTCGACTGTATTTATATTATAATTAAGTGTACTGAATGCCAGAATATTTCACCACCATGATATTCAATTATTTTTTGTGAAATTACTCCACTATAGTCTGACTTTTTGAAGACGAAGTAAAATGACAGTTTATAGACATACATACACTGTATTCAGAACCGTACTTAAGAAAAATACAAAGAGGAGACATTAGTTTTTGATTTTAATTCAATATAGATAATCAAATCGAGCTATTCTTGTTAAAATGTTTATGAATAAAAATTGATCTCGTACTAATAAACCAACTGTCAAAATAGGAATAAAGAAGGCAATAACGCAATTAGTAATCATTAGAACATCGTAACATTCACAATTCAGTCATTTTTGGAAAAAAGAATATTTTCTTTCACAATCTATCGATAAGCCTATCGACAACTACTACATAACTATTTAAAATTTTATGAAAACTGGCAACCCTATAAATGTCATTTTACTACGTCTTCAAAAAAGACATGACTATAGTTTGTTAGAATTATTAATACGAAAATCAAACACTTGGAAAAAAATTCTACTTCTAACTAGCAAACCGTGATTTTTTGTTGATTTTTAGTAAATAAAATCAAAAATCCGCTGACAGGGCGCGAATTTGGCGCGAGGCAGCCGGCGGTTGTTTGTCGGCTAAAAAGGTGGAGTATAATAATCTCAGTACAGAGTACTAAAAAAGCCGACCTCAAAAGTACGTGGAAGTACATATAATTACCAAGTTTTACTGAAATCGGTTACCGGTACACGTACCGGTACTTACCGATTCCGAACCGGTTACCGGTCGATTACTAGTTCACCACTATACGGGACTTGACACAAGAGATAATAAAAATCGGTTCTCACTACTCAAAGTATATTGAGAGAAGAGCCTTGAATTGAAGAATAGTTAAATCGACCATTAAAATAATTGCTCCTTATAATAAAATTTAGGCGCTATTTATAAAAATGAATCTTCATGCATGAACAGCCACCCTAGAGATGGATGATTTTCTTCAAAATTAAATGGGACCACTATGGAGGTACCCTCTTTCCAACGAAAAAAGAATCATGAAAATCGGTTCACAAATACCGGAGTTATCACGTAACATAAATACAAAAAAAAAATACAGTCGAATTAAGAACCTCCTCCTTTTTTGAAGTCGGTTGAAAAGGAACAGTAATCGTATTTCTTATAGGTAATGTCATCGAGTATATAACCAGAAATAGAGGCGAAATGTCATTTAATTTGTTTGAAAACTATTCTGCCATATCATTACTGTGACAACTGCGCTCTGATTGGCCACCCCGAATTCGAAACAATTCAACCAGTTCAACTTGAGAAATTACATATGTAATTACCGATGAAAAGTGATTCCGTTTGTTTTGTAATTAGATGTTTTGCTGTTTTTCCCACACAACCGAATGGAACAGCCCCCCATACAGAATATTATTGGAATATACGGAGGCGTCACACAGTCGGCACACAGGTCAGTTATTGGCGCTGTACTATTTCAGCTTTCTAATTTGTGATTTCAGCGCAAACGAGAGTTGATATTTAAAAGTGACATCAGTACCGTTTGACTGATGAGTTAAGGGATGGACCTTATTTCGGTCTCCATTTCTGGTTATATATTCGATGGGTAATGTATACCTCGTGTTCTCCTGATCAATACAAAAATAACCTAATACGTGTTTCTAAGATTTTTACGTCTAACGAGCTAGCGTAATTCCATATATCTAATTGAAGAGCATAATTTCTGATGCATTTGTCTATAGCTTAATAGGTATTTCTCATCACACATTTAGATTAGTACCAGCAGTGCCACCTTACCTATGTCTGCCGCCAAGCAGTAATGTTAGCATTACTGCGTTCCGGTTTAGAAGGGTAAGGGTGCTGGTGAGATTACAGGCACATGGGACTTGTCAACTTTATGTCTCAGGGCGACGGGCGCAGTGGCAGTGCCCCTCAGATCTTTGCGATTTAAAGCTCTGAGTGGCACTGCAACTGTTATGGACAGGCGTGTAGCTTACCATCAGGCGCACGACTTGTTCATCCCGTCACTTAATATTATAAAAAAAAATAAAGAAAATTGTAGCACACATCACGTCACGAAATCACTCGCGCGGGAATTAGCGACTATTAAAAAAAGCGTTTTGCGTTTTCGTCACTATCCAGCGTATTAGTAATTTTAGTCGCGTTTTTCCGCTAGCAGCGTAATTTTACTCACCCAGCAAAAAACACCAACTAAGATCAAAAAGCTTAAAAAAAAAGAAAAACGCTTCAAGCATGCAACACTTACACAGACCTGCGCGGACGCAATGGATACTTGACGACGGGCGGACGGGCGCTGGCTGCTGACTCCGACGGCACGGTCGAAAGGGGTATCTCCACCATGCCGAGGAAGTCATCTCGCGTAAGACGGTTCTCGTCGAAAACTTGGATTAGCAGTTTGTGTTCTTGGGGCTTTACCTGATGTCAACAAGAGTGTATTAAGGACGACGGTAAATAAGAAATTACTAACGAGGGTCTATTAGAAGTCCGAAGCCAAAGGCTGAGGTCTTTAATAACTCGAGGTTTGTATTTTTTACCGTCCGTGAGACATACAATGTTTTTCATCACATTTGCGAGGAAATAAATACAACATAAACATGGTTCACAACACAACAATAAAATTATGGATTTGGCAAACGACGGGTTTTTTTAATTCTTCCATAGATAATACAACTCGACCTAAAATGTTGTAAAAAGCGAACACGCATACAGCCATGATGGATTGTAAAAAAATTGCTAAATTTTTATACAGAATATAATTAAAATCAATTATAATAAATTCTTAATAATAAGTTTTTAAGTAGTATGTGGCTGAATTTATTAAATTTCTGTTTAGACAACATTTTAAGCGAATGTTTTAATTCTGAACTTAAGTAACCTCCTTGCTTGAACTGGAACCTGACCTATGTAAGGAAGTACGTCGTGCTAGAAATTTAAAAAATATCTCCTTACCGACCATGGTTGTAATGGAAAGAAAAAGGCCAGTGGGTTTTATTTGGGGCATTGTAGTCAAGTTAGCCACCATGCAATCATACCATTTACGAGCAAGTATGATGAAAACGCTGTTTACGACAGGTGTGAAGCTAATGTAGCTATGTTATACCCACAGGTTGCAAACAAATTTGAAAAAAATTAAGGTGTTCATCACTGTAGGGCAATTCAAACACGGCTTTTAAGAACGTTTAAATAGTTTCAAGACAGGTAAGTATTAAAACAGGTAACGGCGAAGGATACGTTTTTGGTTAAGGAGTTAGTGTACTCACCTTGAAAACAAACTGCTGATTCCATACTGGGTTCAACGTCTGAAACAGATTTATTAAACATATAAGGAATAATCTCAGAGTACTAAAAAAACCGACCTCAAAAGTACGTGGAATTACGTCTATTTGTTATGTCTTTAAATTCGCCACTATGCAGGACTTGACACTGGAGATAATAAAAATCGGTTCTCACTACTCAAAGTATATTGAGAGAAAAACGCCTTGAATTGGAGAATAGCAAAATCAACCATTAAAATAATCGCTCCTTAAGTAAAATTTAGGCGCTATTTATAAAAATGAATGTTCATGCGTGAACAGTCACCCATAGAGGTGGATGATTTTCTTGAAAATGAAATGGGACCACTATGGAAGTACCCCCTTTCCAACAAAAAAGAATCATGAAAATCGGTTCACAAATACCGGAGTTATTGCGTAACATACATACAAAAAAAACATACAGTCGTTTTGTGAACCTCCTCCTTTTTTGAAGTCGGTCAAAAAATGAAATACATCTGTGACATATTTCAGTGTCTATTTATTTTACATAGTATCGTCTCTTGAGCCCTTTAAAATTTGAATTTTTGGTTACTAAATAACTATTTTAAATTTTACATATCTTATAACCCAGTAAGGGTTAAACATTAATCTCGATCTGACAAGTGTAGTTAATTTAAGTTTAATCATGCTTTAGTAAATTTATTGCCTGTTAACTTCCCTATTATTTTTTTAACAATAACAGCAATTACTTTACCTGGTTAACTGGACTTTCTTTTACGGACACCTGGACATGCCATGGACACACACATAGATAGACCACAAATTATCATACAAATATTTCTCTCGGCCCGGGAATCGAACCCGGGACATCTGTGTGGCAGACCAGCATGATAACCGTTCTGCCACAGAGGCAGTTTTTTTTTCAACAACATCAAGTGACGGGACGAACAAGTCGTGCGCCTGATGGTAAGCT